CTAGGGGGAAGTCTCATGGTTTTCCTCGATTTGCAGCGGGGACCTGCAGTATGTTCTCGAGTTACGGTGGGGATTGCCCTTCAAAACTCGTATTTATTCAGTGACGTCACGACTCCTGTCTAGTAACGACGGACATCTCAGTAATCTCTTTGAATGCTGGCAGGGCACGAGGGACACTTCTCGAGGTGACGCAGTGCACCCAAGGACCCTTTCCAGTAGCCACAGAGATTTTGGGATTTCTACCAATATTCACGATGAGTCAGGCTACGTTACCTTTTGAAGCAGTGAACTCCGCGTGCCTCTCGAGGTGTCAACGGGATGTGAGGCATTCCGTCATAATGAGGCAGGGACCTAGGGCTTTCTCTAAGGTCTGCACAGGGGATTCAGACATCCCTTCATGTGGGGAGATTCAAGACGTGCTCTATTCAAGCCACTGCAATGAAACCAGGCCTCCTTTCAAGTTAGGGCTTCTCGCTGTATATCCCACTTGAGGCAGCAAACTCGGGGTCCCTACCACATACTTATTGCTTAAAGAAGCCTCCCCTTGAGGTGCTTCTGGAAAGCTGGCATACGTCTTGAGCCTAAGCCAGGGAATCAGCTCTCATCTCGAGACGATTTGGGGTACATGGAGCATTCCTCGAGTTGCTGTGCTGAAGTTGGTGTTCCTCTAGACTTGGGACAGTGTTTTCGGGGCATCCCTGGAGGTGCCTGAAGGAAGTCAAGCCACTGGTCGTGTTGAATGGGCAACGGCGGATGGCTCTGGAGTCAATGCAGTGGAATCGGGCCTCACCTCGAGTTGATTTGTGGCACATGGAGCTGCTTTGTGTTGCTGTGGTAACCTCAGGGTCCGTCTAGACTTGTGACAGTGTTCTTGGGGACTGTCTCGAGATCCATTAAGCAAGTCGAAGCTTCTGACTTGTTTGATGGGGATCACGGAATTGCTCTGCATGCCCTGCAGGTGAATCGGGCCTCATCTCGCATCTAGGGGGAAGTCTCATGGTTTTTCTCGAGTTGCGGCGGGGACCTGTGTTACGTTATCGAGTTACGGGGGGATGGCCCTTCAAAACACGTGTTTATTCAGTGACGTCAGGACTCCTATCTAGTAACGACGGACACCTCAGGAATCTCTTCGAGGATGGCAGGCCACAAGGGACACTTTTCGAGGTAAGTCCGGCCACCCAAGGACCCTTTCCAGTAGCGACAGGGATTTTTGAATTCCTATCAATATTCAAGAAGAGTCAGGCATCGTCACCTTTGAAGCAGTGAACTCTGCGTGCCTCTCGAGGTGTCAACTTGATGTGAGGCATTCCGTCATAATTGCCAGGGACCTAGGGCTTTCTCTAAGGTCTCCACAGGGGATTCAGACATCCCTTCGTGTTGGGAGATGAAAGACGAGCTGTATTCAAGCCACTTCAAGGAAACCCGGCCTCCTTTCAAGTTAGGGCTTCTCGCTGTATATCCCACTTGAGGCAGCAAACTCGGGGTCCCTACCACATAAGTTTTGCTTAAAGAAGCCTCCCCTTGAGGTGCTTCTGGAAAGTTGGCATACGTCTTGAACCAAAGCCACGGAATCAGCTCTCAACTCTAGATGACTTGGGGTACATGGAGCATTCCTCGAGTTGCTGTGCTGAAGTTGGTGTTCCTCTAGACTTGGGACAGTGTTCTCGGGGCATCTCTGGAGTTGCCTGAAGGAAGTCAAGCCACTGGTCGTGTTTAATGGGGAACGGCGGATGGCTCTGGAGTCAACGTAGGGGAATCGGGCCTCATCTCGAGTTGATTTGGAGCACATGGAGCTGCTTTGCGTTGCAGGGGTGAACTCATGGTGCGTCTAGACTTGTGACAGTGTTCTTGGGGACTGTCTCGAGATCCATTAAGGAAGTCGAAGCTCCTTACTTGTTTGATGGGAATCACGGATTTGCTCTGCGTACACTGCAGGGGAATCGGGCATCATCTCACATCTAGGGGGAAGTCTCATGGTTTTCCTCGATTTGCAGCGGGCCCTGCAGTATGTTCTCGAGTTATGGTGGGGATTGCCCTTCAAAACTCGTGTTTATTCAGTGACGTCAGGACTCCTGTCTAGTAACGAGGGACACCTCAGTAATCTCTTTGAGTACTGGCAGGGCACGAGGGACACTTCTCGAGGTGATGCAGTGCACCCAAGGACCCTTTCCAGTAGCCAGAGAGATTTTGGGATTTCTACCAATATTCACGATGAGTCAGGCTACGTTACCTTTTGAAGCAGTGAACTCCGCGTGCCTCTCGATGTGTCAACGGGATGTGAGGGATTCCGTCATAATGAGGAAGGGACATAGGGCTTACTCTAAGGTCTCCACAGGGGAGTCAGACATCCCTTCCTGTTGGGAGATGCAAGACGAGCTGTATTCAAGCCACTTCAAGGAAACCCGGCCTCCTTTCAAGTTAGGGCTTCTCGCTGTATAATCCACTTGAGGCAGCAAACTCGGGGTCCCTACCACATACTTATTGCTTATAGAAGCCTCCCCTTGAGGTGCTTCTGGAAAGCTGGCATACGTCTTGAGCCTAAGCCAGGGAATCAGCTCTCATCTCGAGATGATTTGGGGTACATGGAGCATTCCTCGAGTTGCTGTGCTGAAGTTGGTGTTCCTCTAGACTTGGGACAGCGTTCTCGGGGCATCTCTGGAGGTGCCTGAAGGAAGTCAAGCCACTGGTCGTTTTGAATGGGGAACGGCGGATGGCTCTGGAGTCAATGCAGTGGAATCAGGCCTCACCTCGAGTTGATTTGTGGCACATGGAGCAACTTTGCGTTGCTGTGGTAACCTCAGGGTCTGTCTAGACTTGTGACAGTGTTCTTGGGGACTCTCTCGAGATCCATTAAGCAAGTCAAAACTTCTGACTTGTTTGATGGGGACCACGGAATTGCTCTGCATGCCCTGCAGGGGAATCGGGCCTCATCTCACATCTAGGGGGAAGTCTCATGGTTTTTCTCGAGTTGCGGCGGGGACCTGTGGTAGGTTATCGAGTTACTGGGGGATGGCCCTTTAAAACACGTGTTTATTCAGTGACGTAAGGACTCCTATCTAGTAACGAGGGACACCTCAGGAATCTCTTCGAGGCTTGGCAGGCCACAAGGGACACTTTTCGAGGTGAGTCAGGCCACCCAATGACCCTTTCCAGTAGCCACAGGGATTTTGGGATTCCTATCAATATTCAAGAGTAGTTAGGCATCGTCACCTTTTGAAGCAGTGAACTCTGCGTGCCTCTCGAGGTGTCAACGGGATGTGAGGCTTTCCGTCAAAATGAGGCAGGGACCTAGGGCTTTCTCTAAGGTCTCCACAGGGGATTCAGACATCCCTTCATGTTGGGAGATGAAAGATGACCCTGTATTCAAGCCACTGCAAGGAAACCCGGCCTCCTTTCAAGTTAGGGCTTCTCGCTGTATATTCCACTTGAGGCAGCAAACTCGGGGTCCCTCCCACATACATATTGCTGAGAGAAGCCTCCCCTTGAGGTGCTTCCAGAAAGTTGGCATACGTCTTGACCCAAAGCCATGGAATCAGCTCTCATCTCGAGACGATTTGGGGTACACGGAGCATTCCTCGAGTTGCTGTGCTGAAGTTGTTGTTCCTCTAGACTTGGGACAGTGTTCTCGGGGCATCTCTGGAGTTGCCTAAAGGAAGTCAAGCCACTGGTCTTTTTTAATGAGGAACGGGGGAAGGCTCTGGGGTCAAGGCATGGGAATCGGGCCTCATCTCGAGTTGATTTGGGGCACATGGAGCTGCTTTGGGTTGCAGGGGTGACCTCAGGGTCCGTCTAGACTTGTGACAGTGTTCTTGGGCACTGTCTCGAGATCCATTAAGCATGTCGAAGCTCCTGACTTGTTTGATGGGGATCACGGAATTGCTCTGCATGCACTGCAGGGGAATCGGGCCTCATGTCACATCTAGGGGGAAGTCTCATGGTTTTTCTCGAGTTGCGGCGGGGATATGCGGTATGTTCTCGAGTTACGGCGGGGATGGCCTTTCAAAACACGTGTTTATTCAGTGACGTCAGGACTCCTCTCTAGTAACGTGGGATTGCTCAGGAATCTCTTGGAAGCTTGGCAGGCCCAAGGGACGCTTCTGGAAGTGAGGAAGGGCACCCAAGGACCCTTTCCAGTAGCCACAGGGATTTTTGGATTCCTATCAATATTCAAGAGGAGCCAGGCATCGTCACCTTTTGAAGAAGTGAACTTTGCGTGCCTCTCGAGGTGTCAACAGGATGTGAGGCATTCCGTCATAATGAGACTGGGACCTAGGGCTTTCTCTAAGGTCTCCACAGGGGATTCAGACATCCCTTCATGTTGGGAGATGCAAGACGAGCTGTATTCAAGCCACTGCAAGGAAACCCGGCCTCCTTTCAAGTTAGAGCTTCTCGCTGTATATCCCACTTGAGGCAGCAAACTCGAGGTCCCTAACACATAAATATTGCTTAAAGAAGCCTCCCCTTGAGGTGCTTCTGGAAAGTTGACATACGTCTTGAGCATAAGCCAGGGAATCAGCTCTCATCTCGAGACGATTTGGGGTACATGGAGCATTCCTCGAGTTGCTGTGCTGAAGTTGGTGTTCCTCTAGGCTTGGGACAGTGTTCTCGGGGCATCTCTGGAGTTGCCTAAAGGAAGTCAAGCCACTGGTCTTGTTTAATGAGGAACGGGGGAAGGCTCTGGTGTCAATGCAGGGGAATCGGGTCTCATCTCCAGTTGATTTGGGGCACATGGAGCTGCTTTGCGTTGCAGGGGTGACCTCAGGGTCCGTCTAGACTTGTGACAGTGTTCTTGGTCACTCTCTCGAGATCCATTAAGCAAGTCGAAGCTCCGGACTTGATTGATGGGGATCACGGAATTGCTCTGCGTGCACTGCAGGGGAATCGGACCTCATCTCACATCTAGGGGGAAGTCTCATGGTTTTTTTCGATTTGAGGCGGGGACCTGCGGTATGTTCTCGAGTTACGGCGGGGATTGCCCTTCAAAACTCGTGTTTATTCAGTGACGTCAGGACTCCTGTTTAGTAACGTGGGACACCTCAGTAATCTCTTCGAGGACTGGCAGGGCACGAGGGACGCTTCTCGAGGTGAGGCAGTGCCCCCAAGGACCTTTTCCAGTAGCCACAGAGATTTTGGGATTTCTACCAATATTCACGATGAGTCAGGCTACGTTACCTTTTGAAGCAGTGAACTCCGCGTGCCTCTCGGGTGTCAACAGAATGTAAGGCATTCCGTCATAATGAGGCAGGTACCTAGGGCTTTCTCTAAGGTCTCCCCAGGCGATTCAGACATCCCTTCGTGTTTGGAGATGAAAGACGAGCTGTATTCAAGCCACTTCAAGGAAACCCGGCCTCCTTTCAAGTTAGGGCTTCTCGCTGTATATCCCACTTGAGGCAGCAAACTCGGGGTCCCTACCACATAAGTTTTGCTTAAAGAAGCCTCCCCTTGAGGTGCTTCTGGAAAGTTGGCATACGTCTTGATCCAAAGCCACGGAATCAGCTCTCAACTCTGGATGATTTGGGGTACTTGGAGCATTCCTCGAGTTGCTGTGCCAAAGTTGGTGTTCCTCTAGACTTGGGACAGTGTTCTCGGGGCATCTCGGAGGTTGCCTGAAGGAAGTCAAGCCACTGGTCGTGTTAAATGGGGAACGGGGGATGGCTCTTGAGTAAACGCAGGGGAATCGGGCCTCATCTCGAGTTGATTTGGGGCACATGGAGCTGCTTTGCATTGCAGGGGTGACCTCAGGGTCCGTCTAGACTTGTGACAGTGTTCTTCGGGACTGTCTCGAGATCCATTAAGCAAGTCAAAACTTCTGACTTGTTTGATGGGGACCACGGAATTGCTCTGCATGCCCTGCAGGGGAATCGGGCCTCATCTCGCGTCTAGGGGGAAGTCTCATGGTTTTTCTCGAGTTGTGGCGGGGATATGCGGTATGTTCTCGAGTTAGGGCGGGGATGGCCCTTCAAATCACATGTTTATTCAGTGACGTCAGGACTCCTTTCTAGTAACCTGGGACAACTCAGGAATCTCTTCGAGGCTTGGCAGGGCACAAGGGACGTTTCTCGAGGTGGGGAAGGGCTCCCAAGGACCCTTTCCAGTAGCCACAGGGATTTGGGGATTCCTATCAATATTCAAGAGGAGTCAGGCATTGTCACCTTTTGAAGCAGTGAACTCTGCGTGCCTCTCGAGGTGTCAACGGGATGTGAGGCATTCCGTCATAATGGCCAGGGACCTAGGGCTTTCTCTAAGGTCTCCACAGGGGATTCAGACATCCCTTCATGTTGGGAGATGAAAGACGAGCCTGTATTCAAGCCACTGCAAGGAAACCCGGCCTCCTTTCAAGTTAGGGCTTCTCGCTGTATATCCCACTTGAGGCAGCAAACTCGGGGCCCCTCCCACATACATATTGCTGAGAGAAGCCTCCCCTTGAGGTGCTTCCGGAAAGTTGGCATACCTCTTGACCCAAAGCCACGGAATCAGCTCTCATCTCGAGATGATTTGGGGTACACGGAGCATTCGTCGAGTTGCTGTGCTGAAGTTGGTGTTCCTCTAGACTTGGGACAGTGTTCTCGGGGCATCTCTGGAGGAGCCTGAAGGAAGTCAAGCCACTGGTCGTGTTTAATGGGGAATGGCGGATGGCTCTGGAGTCAATGCAGGGGAATCAGGCCTCATCTGCAGTTGATTTGGGGCACATGGAACTGCTTTGCATTGCTGGGGTGACCTCAGGGTCCGTCTAGACTTGTGACAGTGTTCTTGGGGACTGTCTCGAGATCCATTAAGCATGTCGAAGCTCCTGACTTGTTTGATGGGGATCACGGAATTGCTCTGCATGCACTGCAGGGGAATCGGGCCTCATGTCACATCTAGGGGGAAGTCTCATGGTTTTTCTCGAGTTACGGCGGGGATGGCCTTTCAAAACACGTGTTTATTCAGTGACGTCAGGACTCCTGTCTAGTAACGTGGGACTGCTCAGGAATCTCTTCGAGGCTTGGCAGGGCACAAGGGACGTTTCTCGAGGTGAGGAAGGGCTCCCAAGGACACTTTCCAGTAGCCACAGGGATTTTTGGATTCCTATCAATATTCAAGAGGAGTCAGGCATCATCACCTTTTGAAGCAGTGAACTCTGCGTGCCTCCCGAGGTGTCAACTTGATGTGAGGCATTCCGTCATAATGAGGCAGTGACCTAGGGCTATCTGTAAGGTCTCCACAGGGGATTCAGACATCCCTTCATGTTGGGAGATGAAAGACGAGCCTGTATTCAAGCCACTGAAGGAAACCCGGCCTCCTTTCAAGTTAGGGATTCTCGCTGTATATCCCACTTGAGGCAGCAAACTCGGGGTCCCTACCACATACCTATTGCTTAAAGAAGCCTCCCATTGAGGGACTTCTGGAAAGTTGGCATACGTCTTGATCCTAAGCCGGGGAATCAGCTCTCATCTCGAGACGATTTGGGGTTCATGGAGCATTCCTCGAGTTGCTGTGCTGAAGTTGGTGTTCCTCTAGGCTTGGGACAGTGTTCTCGGGGCATCTCTGGAGTTGCCTAAAGGAAGTCAAGCCACTGGTCTTGTTTAATGAGGAACGGGGGAAGGCTCTGGGGTCAATGCAGGGGAATCGGGTCTCATCTCCAGTTGATTTGTGGCACATGGAGCTGCTTTGCGTTGCAGGGGTGAACTCAGGGTCCGTCTAGACTTGTGACAGTGTTCTTGGGCACACTCTCGAGATCCATTAAGCAAGTCGAAGCTCCGGACTTGATTGATGGGGATCACGGAATTGCTCTGCCTGCACTGCAGGGGAATCGGGCCTCATCTCACATCTAGGCGGAAGTCTCATGTTTTTTTTCGATTTGTGGCGGGGACCTGAGGTATGTTCTCGAGTTACGGCGGGGATTGCCCTTCAAAACTCGTGTTTATTCAGTGACGTCAGGACTCCTGTCTAGTAACGAGGGACACCTCAGTAATCTCTTCGAGGACTGGCAGGGCACGAGGGACACTTCTCGAGGTGAGGCAGTGCACCCAAGGACTTTTTCCAGTAGCCACAGAGATTTTGGGATTTCTACCAATATTCACGATGAGTCAGGCTACGTTACTTTTTGAAGCAGTGATCTCCGCGTGCCTCTCGAGGTGTCAACGGAATGTGAGGCATTCTGTCATAATGAGGCAGGTAACTAGGGCTTTCTCTAAGGTCTCCCCAGGGGATTCAGACATCCTTTCATGTTGGGAGATGAAAGACGAGCCTGTATTCAAGCCACTGCAAGGAAACCCGGCCTCCTTTCAAGTTAGGGCTTCTCACTGTATATCCCACTTGCGGCAGGAAACTCGGGGTCCCTACCACATACCTATTGCTTAAAGAAGCCTCCCCTTGAGGTGCTTCTGGAAAGTTGGCATACGTCTTGAGCCTAAGCCAGGGAATCAGCTCTCATCTCGAGACGATTTGGGGTACATGGAGCATTCCTCGAGTTGCTGTGCTGAAGATGGTGTTCCTCTAGACTTGGGACAGTGTTCTCGGGGCATCTCTGGAGTTGCCTAAAGGAAGTCAAGCCACTGGTCTTGTTTAATGAGGAACGGGGGAAGGCTCTGGAGTCAACGCAGGGGAATCGGGCCTCATCTCCAGTTGATTTGGGGCACATGGAGCTGCTTTGCCTTGCAGGGGAGACCTCAGGGTCCGTCTAGAATTGTGACAGTGTTCTTGGGCACTCTCTCGAGATCCATTAAGCAAGTCGAAGCTCCTGACTTGATTGATGGGGATCACGGAATTGCTCTGTGAGCACTGCAGGGGAATCGGGCCTCATCTCACATCTAGGGGGAAGTCTCATGTTTTTTTTCGATTTGTGGCGGGGACCTGCGTTATGTTCTCGAGTTACGGTGGGGATTGCCCTTCAAAACTCGTGTTTATTCAGTGACGTCAGGACTCCTGTCTAGTAACGTGGGACACCTCATAATCTCTTCGAGGACTGGCAGGGCAGGAGGGACGCTTCTCGAGGTGAGGCAGTGCCCCCAAGGACCTTTTCCAGTAGCCACAGGGATTTTGGGATTTCTACCAATATTCACGATGAGTCAGGCTACGTTACCTTTTGAAGCAGTGAACTCCGCGTGCCTCTCGGGTGTCAACAGAATGTAAGGCATTCCGTCATAATGAGGCAGGTACCTAGGGCTTTCTCTAAGGTCTCCCCAGGGGATTCAGACATCCCTTCATGTTGGGAGATGAAAGACGAGCTGTATTCAAGCCACTTCAAGGAAACCCGGCCTCCTTTCAAGTTAGGGCTTCTCGCTGTATATCCCACTTGGGGCAGCAAACTCGGGGTCCCTACCACATACCTGTTGCTTAAAGAAGCCTCCCCTTGAGGTGCTTCTGGAAAGTTGGCATACATCTTGAGCAAAAGCCACGGAATCTGCTCTCAACTCTAGATGATTTGGGGTACACGGAGTATTCCTCGCGTTGCTCTGCTGAAGTTGATGTTCCTCTAGTCTTGGGACAGTGTTCTCGGGGCATCTCTGGAGGTGCCTGAAGGAAGTCAAGCCACTGGTCTTGTTGAATGGTTAATGGCGGATGGCTCTGGAGTCAATGCAGTGGAATCGGGCCTCACCTCGAGTTGATTTGTGGTACATGGAGCTACTTTGCGTTGCTGTGGTAACCTCAGGGTCCATCTAGACTTGTGACAGTGTTCTTGGGGACTCTCTCGAAATCCATTAAAGAATTCGAATCTCCAGACTTGTTTGATGGGGATCACGGAATTGCTCTGCATGCACTGCAGGGGAATCGAGCCTCATCTCGCATCTATGGGGAAGTCTCATGGTTTTTCTCGAGTTGCAGCGGGGATATGCGGTATGTTCTCGAGTGAGGGCGGGGATGGCCCTTCAAATCACATGTTTATTCAGTGACGTCAGGACTCCTTTCTAGTAACGTGGGACAACTCAGGAATCTCTTCGAGGCTTGGCAGGGCACAAGGGACGTTTCTCGAGGTGAGGAAGGGCTCCCAAGGACACTTTCCAGTAGCCACAGGGATTTTTGGATTCCTATCAATATTCAAGAGGAGTCAGGCATCATCACCTTTTGAAGCAGTGAACTCTGCGTGCCTCCCGAGGTGTCAACTTGATGTGAGGCATTCCGTCATAATGAGGCAGTGACCTAGGGCTATCTGTAAGGTATCCACAGGGGATTCAGACATCCCTTCATGTTGGGAGATGAAAGACGAGCCTGTATTCAAGCGACTGCAAGGAAACCCGGCCTCCTTTCAAGTTAGGGATTCTCGCTGTATATCCCACTTGAGGCAGCAAACTCGGGGTCCCTACCACATACCTATTGCTTAAAGAAGCCTCCCATTGAGGGACTTCTGGAAAGTTGGCATACGTCTTGATCCTAAGCCAGGGAATCAGCTCTCATCTCGAGACGATTTGGGGTTCATGGAGCATTCCTCGAGTTGCTGTGCTGAAGTTGGTGTTCCTCTAGGCTTGGGACAGTGTTCTCGGGGCATCTCTGGAGTTGCCTAAAGGAAGTCAAGCCACTGGTCTTGTTTAATGAGGAACGGGGGAAGGCTCTGGGGTCAATGCAGGGGAATCGGGTCTCATCTCCAGTTGATTTGTGGCACATGGAGCTGCTTTGCGTTGCAGGGGTGAACTCAGGGTCCGTCTAGACTTGTGACAGTGTTCTTGGGCACACTCTCGAGATCCATTAAGCAAGTCGAAGCTCCGGACTTGATTGATGGGGATCACGGAATTGCTCTGCCTGCACTGCAGGGGAATCGGGCCTCATCTCACATCTAGGCGGAAGTCTCATGTTTTTTTTCGATTTGTGGCGGGGACCTGAGGTATGTTCTCGAGTTACGGCGGGGATTGCCCTTCAAAACTCGTGTTTATTCAGTGACGTCAGGACTCCTGTCTAGTAACGAGGGACACCTCAGTAATCTCTTCGAGGACTGGCAGGGCACGAGGGACACTTCTCGAGGTGAGGCAGTGCACCCAAGGACTTTTTCCAGTAGCCACAGAGATTTTGGGATTTCTACCAATATTCACGATGAGTCAGGCTACGTTACCTTTTGAAGCAGTGAACTCCGCGTGCCTCTCGAGGTGTCAACGGAATGTGAGGCATTCCGTCATAATGAGGCAGGTAACTAGGGCTTTCTCTAAGGTCTCCCCAGGGGATTCAGACATCCTTTCATGTTGGGAGATGAAAGACGAGCCTGTATTCAAGCCACTGCAAGGAAACCCGGCCTCCTTTCAAGTTAGGGCTTCTCACTGTATATCCCACTTGCGGCAGGAAACTCGGGGTCCCTACCACATACCTATTGCTTAAAGAAGCCTCCCCTTGAGGTGCTTCTGGAAAGTTGGCATACGTCTTGAGCCTAAGCCAGGGAATCAGCTCTCATCTCGAGACGATTTGGGGTACATGGAGCATTCCTCGAGTTGTTGTGCTGAAGATGGTGTTCCTCTAGACTTGGGACAGTGTTCTCGGGGCATCTCTGGAGTTGCCTAAAGGAAGTCAAGCCACTGGTCTTGTTTAATGAGGAATGGGGGAAGGCTCTGTGGTCAACGCAGGGGAATCGGGCCTCATCTCCAGTTGATTTGGGGCACATGGAGCTGCTTTGCCTTGCAGGGGAGACCTCAGGGTCCGTCTAGAATTGTGACAGTGTTCTTGGGCACTCTCTCGAGATCCATTAAGCAAGTCGAAGCTCCTGACTTGATTGATGGGGATCACGGAATTGCTCTGTGTGCACTGCAGGGGAATCGGGCCTCATCTCACATCTAGGGGGAAGTCTCATGTTTTTTTTCGATTTGTGGCGGGGACCTGCGTTATGTTCTCGAGTTACGGTGGGGATTGCCCTTCAAAACTCGTGTTTATTCAGTGACGTCAGGACTCCTGTCTAGTAACGAGGGACACCTCAGTAATCTCTTCGAGGACTGGCAGGGCACGATGGACCCTTCTCGAGGTGAGGCAGTGCACCCAAGGACTTTCTCCAGTAGCCACAGAGATTTTGGGATTTCTACCAATATTAACGATGAGTCAGGCTACGTTACCTTTTGAAGCAGTGAACTCCGCGTGCCTCTCGAGGTGTCAACGGAATGTGAGGCATTCCGTCATAACGAGGCAGGTAACTAGGGCTTTCTCTAAGGTCTCCCCAGGGGATTCAGACATCCCTTCATGTTGGAGGATGAAAGACGAGCTGTATTCAAGCCACTTCAAGGAAACCCGGCTTCCTTTCAAGTTAGGGCTTCTCGCTGTATATCCCACTTGGGGCAGCAAACTCGGGGTCCCTACCACATAAGTTTTGCTTAAAGAAGCCTCCTCTTGACGTGCTTCTGGAAAGTTGGCATACGTCTTGACCCAAAGCCACGGAATCAGCTCTCAACTCTAGATGATTTGGGGTACTCGGAGCATTCCTCGAGTTGCTGTGCCGAAGTTGGTGTTCCTCTAGACTTGGGACAGTGTTCTCGGGGCATCTCGGGAGTTGGCTGAAGGAAGTCAAGCCACTGGTCGTGTTTAATGGGGAACAGGGGATGGCTCTGGAGTAAATTCAGGGGAATCGGGCCTCATCTTGAGTTGATTTGGGGCACATGGAGCTGCTTTGCATTGCAGGGGTGACCTCAGGGTCCGTCTAGACTTGTGACAGTGTTCTTCGGGACTGTCTCGAGATCCATTAAGCAAGTCGAAGTTCCTGACTTGTTTGATGGGGATCACGGAATTGCCCTGCATGCACTGAAGGGGAATCGGGCCTCATCTCGCATCTAGGGGGAAGTCTCATGGTTTTTCTCGAGTTGTGGCGGGGATATGCGGTATGTTCTCGAGTTAGGGCGGGGATGGCCCTTCAAATCACATGTTTATTTAGTGACGTCAGGACTCCTTTCTAGTAACGTGGGACAACTCAGGAATCTCGTCGAGGCTTGGCAGGGCACAAGGGACGTTTCTCGAGGTGAGGAAGGGCTCCGAAGGACCCTTTCCAGTAGCCACAGGGATTTTTGGATTCCTATCAATATTCAAGAGGAGTCAGGCATCGTCACCTTTGAAGCAGTGAACTCTGCGTGCCTCCCGAGGTGTCAACTTGATGTGAGGCATTCCGTCATAATGAGGCAGGGACCTAGGGCTATCTGTAAGGTCTCCGCAGGGGATTCAGACATCCCTTCATGTTGGGAGATGAAAGACGAGCCTGTATTCAAGCCACTGCAAGGAAACCCGGCCTCCTTTCAAGTTAGGGCTTCTCGCTGTATATCCCACTTGTGGCAGCAAACTCGGGGTCCCTACCACATACCTATTGCTTAAAGAAGCCTCCCCTTGAGGTGCTTCTGGAAAGTTGGCATACGTCTTGAGCCTAAGCCAGGGAATCAGCTCTCATCTCGAGACGATTTGGGGTACATGGAGCATTCCTCGAGTTGCTGTGCTGAAGATGGTGTTCCTCTAGACTTGGGACAGTGTTCTCGGGGCATCTCTGGAGTTGCCTAAAGGAAGTCAAGCCACTGGTCTTGTTTAATGAGGAACTGGGGAAGGCTCTGGGGTCAACGTAGGGGAATCGGGCCTCATCTCCAGTTGATTTGGGGCACATGGAGCTGCTTTGCGTTGCAGGGGTGACCTCAGGGTCCGTCTAGACTTGTGACAGTGTTCTTGGGCGGTCTCAAGATCCATTAAGCAAGTCGAAGCTCCTGACTTGATTGATGGGGATCACGGAATTGCTCTGCGAGCACTGCAGGGGAATCGGGCCTCATCTCACATCTAGGCGGAAGTCTCATGTTTTTTTTCGATTTGTGGCGGGGACCTGTGGTATGTTCTCGAGTTACGGCGGGGATTGCCCTTCAAAACTCGTTTTTATTCAGTGACGTCAGGACTCCTGTCTAGTAACGAGGGACACCTCAGTAATCTCTTCGAGGACTCGCAGGGCACGAGGGACCCTTCTCGAGGTGAGGCAGTGCACCCAAGGACTTTTTCCAGTAGCCACAGAGATTTTGGGATTTCTACCAATATTAACGATGAGTCAGGCTACGTTACCTTTTGAAGCAGTGAACTCCGCGTGCCTCTCGAGGTGTCAACGGAATGTGAGGCATTCCGTCATAACGAGGCAGGTACCTAGGGCTTTCTTTAAGGTCTCCCCAGGGGATTCAGACATCCCTTCATGTTGGAGGATGAAAGACGAGCTGTATTCAAGCCACTTCAAGGAAACCCGGCCTCCTTTCAAGTTAGGGCTTCTCGCTGTATATCCCACTTGGGGCAGCAAACTCGGGGTCCCTACCACATAAGTTTTGCTTAAAGAAGCCTCCTCTTGACGTGCTTCTGGAAAGTTGGCATACGTCTTGACCCAAAGCCACGGAATCAGCTCTCAACTCTAGATGATTTGGGGTACTCGGAGCATTCCTCGAGTTGCTGTGCCGAAGTTGGTGTTCCTCTAGACTTGGGACAGTGTTCTCGGGGCATCTCGGGAGTTGGCTGAAGGAAGTCAAGCCACTGGTCGTGTTTAATGGGGAACAGGGGATGGCTCTGGAGTAAATTCAGGGGAATCGGGCCTCATCTTGAGTTGATTTGGGGCACATGGAGCTGCTTTGCATTGCAGGGGTGACCTCAGGGTCCGTCTAGACTTGTGACAGTGTTCTTCGGGACTGTCTCGAGATCCCTTAAGCAAGTCGAATTTCTGACTTGTTTGATGGGGATCACGGAATTACCCTGCATGCACTGAAGGGGAATCGGGCCTCATCTCGCGTCTAGGGGGAAGTCTCATGGTTTTTCTCGAGTTGTGGCGGGGATATGCGGTATGTTCTCGAGTTAGGGCGGGGATGGCCCTTCAAATCACATGTTTATTCAGTGACGTCAGGACTCCTTTCTAGTAACCTGGGACAACTCAGGAATCTCTTCGAGGCTTGGCAGGGCTCAAGGGACGTTTCTCGAGGTGGGGAAGGGCTCCCAAGGACCCTTTCCAGTAGCCACAGGGATTTGGGGATTCCTATCAATATTCAAGAGGAGTCAGGCATTGTCACCTTTTGAAGCAGTGAACTCTGCGTGCCTCTCGAGGTGTCAACGGGATGTGAGGCATTCCGTCATAATGGCCAGGGACCTAGGGCTTTCTCTAAGGTCTCCACAGGGGATTCAGACATCCCTTCATGTTGGGAGATGAAAGACGAGCCTGTATTCAAGCCACTGCAAGGAAACCCGGCCTCCTTTCAAGTTAGGGCTTCTCGCTGTATATCCCACTTGAGGCAGCAAACTCGGGGCCCCTCCCACATACATATTGCTGAGAGAAGCCTCCCCTTGAGGTGCTTCCGGAAAGTTGGTATACCTCTTGACCCAAAGCCACGGAATCAGCTCTCATCTCGAGATGATTTGGGGTACACGGAGCATTCGTCGAGTTGCTGTGCTGAAGTTGGTGTTCCTCTAGACTTGGGACAGTGTTCTCGGGGCATCTCTGGAGGTGCCTGAAGGAAGTCAAGCCACTGGTCGTGTTTAGTGGGGAACGGCAGATGGCTCTGGAGTCAATGCAGTGGAATCGGGCCTCACCTCGAGTTGATTTGAGGCACATGGAGCTGCTTTGCGTTGCAGGGGTGACCTCAGGGTGCGTCTAGACTTGTGACAGTGTTCTTGGGGACTGTCTCGAGATCCATTAAGCAAGTCGAAGCTCCTGACTTGTTTGATGGGGATCACGGAATTGCTCTGCATGCACTGCAGGGGAATCGGGCCTCATGTCACATCTAGGGGGAAGTCTCATGGTTTTTCTCGAGTTGCGGCGGGGATGGCCTTTCAAAACACGTGTTTATTCAGTGACGTCAGGACTCCTGTCTAGTAACGAGGGACACCTCAGTAATCTCTTCGAGGACTGGCAGGGCACGAGGGACCCTTCTCGAGGTGAGGCAGTGCACCCAAGGACTTTTTCCAGTAGCCACAGAGATTTTGGGATTTCTACCAATATTCACGATGAGTCAGGCTACGTTACCTTTTGAAGCAGTGAACTCCGCGTGCCTCTCGAGGTGTCAACGGAATGTGAGGCATTCCGTCATAATGAGGCAGGTAACTAGGGCTTTCTCTAAGGTCTCCCCAGGGGATTCAGACATCCCTTCGTGTTGGGAGATGAAAGACGAGCTGTATTCAAGCCACTTCAAGGAAACCCGGCCTCCTTTCAAGTTAGGGCTTCTCGCTGTATATCCCACTTGAGGCAGCAAACTCGGGGTCCCTACCACATAAGTTTTGCTTAAAGAAGCCTCCCCTTGAGGTGCTTCTGGAAAGTTGGCATACGTCTTGATCCAAAGCCACGGAATCAGCTCTCAACTCTGGATGATTTGGGGTACTTGGAGCATTCCTCGAGTTGCTGTGCCGAAGTTGGTGTTCCTCTAGACTTGGGACAGTGTTCTCGGGGCATCTCGGAGGTTGCCTGAAGGAAGTCAAGCCACTGGTCGTGTTAAATGGGGAAAGGGGGATGGCTCTGGAGTAAACGCAGGGGAATCAGGCCTCATCTCGAGTTGATTTGGGGCACATGGAGCTGCTTTGCATTGCAGGGGTGACCTCAGGGTCCGTCTAGACTTGTGACAGTGTTCTTCGGGACTGTCTCGAGATCCCTTAAGCAAGTCGAATTTCTGACTTGTTTGATGGGGATCACGGAATTACCCTGCATGCACTGAAGGGGAATCGGGCCTCATCTCGCGTCTAGGGGGAAGTCTCATGGTTTTTCTCGAGTTGTGGCGGGGATATGCGGTATGTTCTCGAGTTAGGGCGGGGATGGCCCTTCAAATCACATGTTTATTCAGTGACGTCAGGACTCCTTTCTAGTAACCTGGGACAACTCAGGAATCTCCTCGAGGCTTGGCAGGGCACAAGGGACGTTTCTCGAGGTGAGGAAGGGCTCCCAAGGACCCTTTCCAGTAGCCACAGGGATTTGGGGATTCCTATCAATATTCAAGAGGAGTCAGGCATTGTCACCTTTTGAAGCAGTGAACTCTGCGTGCCTCTCGAGGTGTCAACTTGATGTGAGGCATTCCGTCATAATGAGGCAGGGACCTAGGCTTATCTGTAAGGTCTCCGCAGGGGATTCAGACATCCTTTCATATTGGGGGATGAAAGACGAGCCTGTATTCAAGCCACTGCAAGGAAACCCGGCCTCCTTTCAAGTTAGGGCTTCTCGCTGTATATCCCTCTTGCGGCAGGAAACTCGGGTTCCCTACCACATACCTATTGCTTAAAGAAGCCTCCCCTTGTGGTGCTTCTGGAAAGTTGGCATACGTCTTGAGCCTAAGCCAGGGAATCAGCTCTCATCTCGAGATGATTTGGGGTACACGGAGCATTCGTCGAGTTGCTGTGCTGAAGTTGGTGTTCCTCTAGACTTGGGACAGTGTTCTCGGGGCATCTCTGGAGGTGCCTGAAGGAAGTCAAGCCACTGGTCGTGTTTAATGGGGAACGGCGGATGGCTCTGGAGTCAATGCAGTGGAATCGGGCCTCACCTCGAGTTGATTTGTGGCACATGGAGCTGCTTTGCGTTGAAGGGGTGACCTCAGGGTGCGTCTAGACTTGTGACAGTGTTCTTGGGGACTCTCTCGAGATGCATTAAGCAAGTCGAAGCTCCTGACTTGTTTGATGGGGATCACGGAATTGCTCTGCATGCACTGCAGGGGAATCGGGCCTCATGTCACATCTAGGGGGAAGTCTCATGGTTTTTCTCGAGTTGCGGTTGGGATATGCGGTATGTTCTCGAGTTACGGCGGGGATGGCCTTTCAAAAAACTTGTTTATTCAGTGACGTCAGGACTCCTGTCTAGTAACGTGGGACTGCTCAAGAATCTCTTCGAAGCTTGGCAGGGCACAAGGGACGCTTCTGGAAGTGAGGAAGGGCACCCAAGGACCCTTTCCAGTAGCCACAGGGATTTTTAGATTCCTATCAATATTCAAGTGGAGCCAGGCATGGTCACCTTTTGAAGAAGTGAACTTTGCGTGCCTCTCGAGGTGTCAACGGGATGTGAGGCATTCCGTCATAATGAGACTGGGACCTAGGGCTTTCTGTAAGGTCTCCACAGGGGATTCAGACATCCCTTCATGTTGGGAGATGCAAGAGGAGCTGTATTCAAGCCACTGCAAGGAAACCCGGCCTCCTTTCAAGTTAGGGCTTCTCGCTATATATACCACTTGAGGCAGCAAACTCGGGGTCCCTACCACATAACTATTGCTTAAAGAAGCCTCCCCTTGAGGTGCTTCTGGAAAGTTGACATACGTCTTGAGCCTAAGCCAGGGAATCAGCTCTCATCTCTAGACGATTTGGGGTACATGGAGCATTCCTCGAGTTGCTGTGCTGAAGTTGGTGTTCCTCTAGGCTTGGGAGAGTATTCTCGGGGCATCTCTGGAGTTGCCTGAAAGAAGTCAAACCACTGGTCGTGTTTAATGTGGAACGGCGGATGGCTCTGGAGTCAACGCATTGGAATCGGGCCTCATCTCGAGTTGATTTGGGGCACATGGAGCTGCTTTGCATTGCAGGGGTGACCTCAGGGTCCGTCTAGACTTGTGACAGTGTTCTTGGGGACTGTCTCGAAATCCATTAAGGAATTCGAATCTCCTGACCTGTTTGACGGTGATCACGGAATTGCTCTGCCTGCACTACAGGGGAATTGGGCCTCATCTCGCATCTAGGGGGAAGTCTCATGGTTTTTCTCGAGTTGCGGCGGGCATATGCGGTATGTTCTCGAGTTACGGCGGGGATGGCCTTTCAAAACACATGTTTATTCAGTGACGTCAGGACTCCTGTCTAGTAACGTGGGACACCTCAGTAATCTCTTCGAGGCTTGGCAGGGCACAAGGGACTCTTCTCGAAGTGAGGTAGTGCACCCAAGGACCATTTCCAGTAGCCACAGGGATTTTAGGATTCCTATCAATATTCTAGAGGAGTCAGGCATCATCACCTTTTGAAGCAGTGAACTCTGCTTGCCTCTCGAGGTGTCAACTTGATGTGAGGCATTTCGTCATAATGAGGCAGGGACCTAGGACTTTCTCTAAGGTCTCCACAGGGGATTCAGACATCCCTTCATGTTGGGAGATGAAAGACGAGCCTGTATTCAAGCCACTTCAAGGAAACCTGGCCTCCTTTCAAGTTAGGGCTTCTCGCTGTATATCTCACTTGAGGCAGCAAACTCGGGGTCCCTACCACATACCTTTTGCTTAAAGAAGCCTCCCCTTGAGGTGCTTCTGAAAGTTGGCATACGTCTTGAGCCTAAGCCAGTGAATCAGCTCTCATCTCGAGACGATTTGGGGTACATGGAGCATTCCTCGAGTTCCTGTGCTGAAGTTGGTGTTCCTCTAGACTTGGGACAGTGTTCTCGGGGCATCTCTGGAGTTGCCTGAAGGAAGTCAAGCCACTGGTCGTGTTTAATGCGGAACGGCGGATGGCTCTGGAGTCAACGCAGGGAAATCGGGCCTCATCTCGAGTTGATTTGGGGCACATGGAACTGCTTTGCATTGCTGGGGTGACCTCAGGGTCCGTCTAGACTTGTGACAGTGTTCTTGGGGACTCTCTCGAGATCCATTAAGCATGCCGAAGCTCCTGACTTGTTTGATGGGGATCACGGAATTGCTCTGCGTGCACTGCAGGGGAATCGGGCCTCATCTCACATCTAGGGGGAAGTCTCATGGTTTTCCTCGATTTGCAGCGGGGACCTGCAGTATGTTCTCGAGTTACGGTGGGGATTGCCCTTCAAAACTCGTATTTATTCAGTGACGTCACGACTCCTGTCTAGTAACGACGGACATCTCAGTAATCTCTTTGAATGCTGGCAGGGCACGAGGGACACTTCTCGAGGTGACGCAGTGCACCCAAGGACCCTTTCCAGTAGCCACAGAGATTTTGGGATTTCTACCAATATTCACGATGAGTCAGGCTACGTTACCTTTTGAAGCAGTGAACTCCGCGTGCCTCTCGAGGTGTCAACGGGATGTGAGGCATTCCGTCATAATGAGGCAGGGACCTAGGGCATTCTCTAAGGTCTGCACAGGGGATTCAGACATCCCTTCATGTGGGGAGATTCAAGACGTGCTCTATTCAAGCCACTGCAATGAAACCAGGCCTCCTTTCAAGTTAGGGCTTCTCGCTGTATATCCCACTTGAGGCAGCAAACTCGGGGTCCCTACCACATACTTATTGCTTAAAGAAGCCTCCCCTTGAGGTGCTTCTGGAAAGCTGGCATACGTCTTGAGCCTAAGCCAGGGAATCAGCTCTCATCTCGAGACGATTTGGGGTACATGGAGCATTCCTCGAGTTGCTGTGCTGAAGTTGGTGTTCCTCTAGACTTGGGACAGTGTTTTCGGGGCATCCCTGGAGGTGCCTGAAGGAAGTCAAGCCACTGGTCGTGTTGAATGGGCAACGGCGGATGGCTCTGGAGTCAATGCAGTGGAATCGGGCCTCACCTCGAGTTGATTTGTGGCACATGGAGCTGCTTTGTGTTGCTGTGGTAACCTCAGGGTCCGTCTAGACTTGTGACAGTGTTCTTGGGGACTGTCTCGAGATCCATTAAGCAAGTCGAAGCTTCTGACTTGTTTGATGGGGATCACGGAATTGCTCTGCATGCCCTGCAGGTGAATCGGGCCTCATCTCGCATCTAGGGGGAAGTCTCATGGTTTTTCTCGAGTTGCGGCGGGGACCTGTGTTACGTTATCGAGTTACGGGGGGATGGCCCTTCAAAACACGTGTTTATTCAGTGACGTCAGGACTCCTATCTAGTAACGACGGACACCTCAGGAATCTCTTCGAGGATGGCAGGCCACAAGGGACACTTTTCGAGGTAAGTCCGGCCACCCAAGGACCCTTTCCAGTAGCGACAGGGATTTTTGAATTCCTATCAATATTCAAGAAGAGTCAGGCATCGTCACCTTTGAAGCAGTGAACTCTGCGTGCCTCTCGAGGTGTCAACTTGATGTGAGGCATTCCGTCATAATTGCCAGGGACCTAGGGCTTTCTCTAAGGTCTCCACAGGGGATTCAGACATCCCTTCGTGTTGGGAGATGAAAGACGAGCTGTATTCAAGCCACTTCAAGGAAACCCGGCCTCCTTTCAAGTTAGGGCTTCTCGCTGTATATCCCACTTGAGGCAGCAAACTCGGGGTCCCTACCACATAAGTTTTGCTTAAAGAAGCCTCCCCTTGAGGTGCTTCTGGAAAGTTGGCATACGTCTTGAACCAAAGCCACGGAATCAGCTCTCAACTCTAGATGACTTGGGGTACATGGAGCATTCCTCGAGTTGCTGTGCTGAAGTTGGTGTTCCTCTAGACTTGGGACAGTGTTCTCGGGGCATCTCTGGAGTTGCCTGAAGGAAGTCAAGCCACTGGTCGTGTTTAATGGGGAACGGCGGATGGCTCTGGAGTCAACGTAGGGGAATCGGGCCTCATCTCGAGTTGATTTGGAGCACATGGAGCTGCTTTGCGTTGCAGGGGTGAACTCAGGGTGCGTCTAGACTTGTGACAGTGTTCTTGGGGACTGTCTCGAGATCCATTAAGGAAGTCGAAGCTCCTTACTTGTTTGATGGGAATCACGGATTTGCTCTGCGTACACTGCAGGGGAATCGGGCATCATCTCACATCTAGGGGGAAGTCTCATGGTTTTCCTCGATTTGCAGCGGGCCCTGCAGTATGTTCTCGAGTTATGGTGGGGATTGCCCTTCAAAACTCGTGTTTATTCAGTGACGTCAGGACTCCTGTCTAGTAACGAGGGACACCTCAGTAATCTCTTTGAGTACTGGCAGGGCACGAGGGACACTTCTCGAGGTGATGCAGTGCACCCAAGGACCCTTTCCAGTAGCCAGAGAGATTTTGGGATTTCTACCAATATTCACGATGAGTCAGGCTACGTTACCTTTTGAAGCAGTGAACTCCGCGTGCCTCTCGATGTGTCAACGGGATGTGAGGGATTCCGTCATAATGAGGAAGGGACATAGGGCTTACTCTAAGGTCTCCACAGGGGAGTCAGACATCCCTTCCTGTTGGGAGATGCAAGACGAGCTGTATTCAAGCCACTTCAAGGAAACCCGGCCTCCTTTCAAGTTAGGGCTTCTCGCTGTATAATCCACTTGAGGCAGCAAACTCGGGGTCCCTACCACATACTTATTGCTTATAGAAGCCTCCCCTTGAGGTGCTTCTGGAAAGCTGGCATACGTCTTGAGCCTAAGCCAGGGAATCAGCTCTCATCTCGAGATGATTTGGGGTACATGGAGCATTCCTCGAGTTGCTGTGCTGAAGTTGGTGTTCCTCTAGACTTGGGACAGCGTTCTCGGGGCATCTCTGGAGGTGCCTGAAGGAAGTCAAGCCACTGGTCGTTTTGAATGGGGAACGGCGGATGGCTCTGGAGTCAATGCAGTGGAATCAGGCCTCACCTCGAGTTGATTTGTGGCACATGGAGCAACTTTGCGTTGCTGTGGTAACCTCAGGGTCCGTCTAGACTTGTGACAGTGTTCTTGGGGACTGTCTCGAGATCCATTAAGCAAGTCAAAACTTCTGACTTGTTTGATGGGGACCACGGAATTGCTCTGCATGCCCTGCAGGGGAATCGGGCCTCATCTCACATCTAGGGGGAAGTCTCATGGTTTTTCTCGAGTTGCGGCGGGGACCTGTGGTAGGTTATCGAGTTACTGGGGGATGGCCCTTTAAAACACGTGTTTATTCAGTGACGTAAGGACTTCTATCTAGTAACGAGGGACACCTCAGGAATCTCTTCGAGGCTTGGCAGGCCACAAGGGACACTTTTCGAGGTGAGTCAGGCCACCCAATGACCCTTTCCAGTAGCCACAGGGATTTTGGGATTCCTATCAATATTCAAGAGTAGTTAGGCATCGTCACCTTTTGAAGCAGTGAACTCTGCGTGCCTCTCGAGGTGTCAACGGGATGTGAGGCTTTCCGTCAAAATGAGGCAGGGACCTAGGGCTTTCTCTAAGGTCTCCACAGGGGATTCAGAAATCCCTTCATGTTGGGAGATGAAAGATGACCCTGTATTCAAGCCACTGCAAGGAAACCCGGCCTCCTTTCAAGTTAGGGCTTCTCGCTGTATATTCCACTTGAGGCAGCAAACTCGGGGTCCCTCCCACATACATATTGCTGAGAGAAGCCTCCCCTTGAGGTGCTTCCAGAAAGTTGGCATACGTCTTGACCCAAAGCCATGGAATCAGCTCTCATCTCGAGACGATTTGGGGTACACGGAGCATTCCTCGAGTTGCTGTGCTGAAGTTGTTGTTCCTCTAGACTTGGGACAGTGTTCTCGGGGCGTCTCTGGAGTTGCCTAAAGGAAGTCAAGCCACTGGTCTTTTTTAATGAGGAACGGGGGAAGGCTCTGGGGTCAAGGCATGGGAATCGGGCCTCATCTCGAGTTGATTTGGGGCACATGGAACTGCTTTGGGTTGCAGGGGTGACCTCAGGGTCCGTCTAGACTTGTGACAGTGTTCTTGGGCACTGTCTCGAGATCCATTAAGCATGTCGAAGCTCCTGACTTGTTTGATGGGGATCACGGAATTGCTCTGCATGCACTGCAGGGGAATCGGGCCTCATGTCACATCTAGGGGGAAGTCTCATGGTTTTTCTCGAGTTGCGGCGGGGATATGCGGTATGTTCTCGAGTTACGGCGGGGATGGCCTTTCAAAACACGTGTTTATTCAGTGACGTCAGGACTCCTGTCTAGTAACGTGGGACTGCTCAGGAATCTCTTGGAAGCTTGGCAGGCCCAAGGGACGCTTCTGGAAGTGAGGAAGGGCACCCAAGGACCCTTTCCAGTAGCCACAGGGATTTTTGGATTCCTATCAATATTCAAGAGGAGCCAGGCATCGTCACCTTTTGAAGAAGTGAACTTTGCGTGCCTCTCGAGGTGTCAACAGGATGTGAGGCATTCCGTCATAATGAGACTGGGACCTAGGGCTTTCTCTAAGGTCTCCACAGGGGATTCAGACATCCCTTCATGTTGGGAGATGCAAGACGAGCTGTATTCAAGCCACTGCAAGGAAACCCGGCCTCCTTTCAAGTTAGAGCTTCTCGCTGTATATCCCACTTGAGGCAGCAAACTCGGGGTCCCTAACACATAAATATTGCTTAAAGAAGCCTCCCCTTGAGGTGCTTCTGGAAAGTTGGCATACGTGTTGAGCATAAGCCAGGGAATCAGCTCTCATCTCGAGACGATTTGGGGTACATGGAGCATTCCTCGAGTTGCTGTGCTGAAGTTGGTGTTCCTCTAGGCTTGGGACAGTGTTCTCGGGGCATCTCTGGAGTTGCCTAAAGGAAGTCAAGCCACTGGTCTTGTTTAATGAGGAACGGGGGAAGGCTCTGGTGTCAATGCAGGGGAATCGGGTCTCATCTCCAGTTGATTTGGGGCACATGGAGCTGCTTTGCGTTGCAGGGGTGACCTCAGGGTCCGTCTAGATTTGTGACAGTGTTCTTGGTCACTCTCTCGAGATCCATTAAGCAAGTCGAAGCTCCTGACTTGTTTGATGGGGATCACGGAATTGCTCTGCGTGCACTGCAGGGGAATCGGACCTCATCTCACATCTAGGGGGAAGTCTCATGGTTTTTTTCGATTTGAGGCGGGGACCTGCGGTATGTTCTCGAGTTACGGCGGGGATTGCCCTTCAAAACTCGTGTTTATTCAGTGACGTCAGGACTCCTGTTTAGTAACGTGGGACACCTCAGTAATCTCTTCGAGGACTGGCAGGGCACGAGGGACGCTTCTCGAGGTGAGGCAGTGCCCCCAAGGACCTTTTCCAGTAGCCACAGAGATTTTGGGATTTCTACCAATATTCACGATGAGTCAGGCTACGTTACCTTTTGAAGCAGTGAACTCCGCGTGCCTCTCGGGTGTCAACAGAATGTAAGGCATTCCGTCATAATGAGGCAGGTACCTAGGGCTTTCTCTAAGGTCTCCCCAGGCGATTCAGACATCCCTTCGTGTTGGGAGATGAAAGACGAGCTGTATTCAAGCCACTTCAAGGAAACCCGGCCTCCTTTCAAGTTAGGGCTTCTCGCTGTATATCCCACTTGAGGCAGCAAACTCGGGGTCCCTACCACATAAGTTTTGCTTAAAGAAGCCTCCCCTTGAGGTGCTTCTGGAAAGTTGGCATACATCTTGATCCAAAGCCACGGAATCAGCTCTCAACTCTGGATGATTTGGGGTACTTGGAGCATTCCTCGAGTTGCTGTGCCAAAGTTGGTGTTCCTCTAGACTTGGGACAGTGTTCTCGGGGCATCTCGGAGGTTGCCTGAAGGAAGTCAAGCCACTGGTCGTGTTAAATGGGGAACGGGGGATGGCTCTTGAGTAAACGCAGGGGAATCGGGCCTCATCTCGAGTTGATTTGGGGCACATGGAGCTGCTTTGCATTGCAGGGGTGACCTCAGGGTCCGTCTAGACTTGTGACAGTGTTCTTCGGGACTGTCTCGAGATCCATTAAGCAAGTCAAAACTTCTGACTTGTTTGATGGGGACCACGGAATTGCTCTGCATGCCCTGCAGGGGAATCGGGCCTCATCTCGCGTCTAGGGGGAAGTCTCATGGTTTTTCTCGAGTTGTGGCGGGGATATGCGGTATGTTCTCGAGTTAGGGCGGGGATGGCCCTTCAAATCACATGTTTATTCAGTGACGTCAGGACTCCTTTCTAGTAACCTGGGACAACTCAGGAATCTCTTCGAGGCTTGGCAGGGCACAAGGGACGTTTCTCGAGGTGGGGAAGGGCTCCCAAGGACCCTTTCCAGTAGCCACAGGGATTTGGGGATTCCTATCAATATTCAAGAGGAGTCAGGCATTGTCACCTTTTGAAGCAGTGAACTCTGCGTGCCTCTCGAGGTGTCAACGGGATGTGAGGCATTCCGTCATAATGGCCAGGGACCTAGGGCTTTCTCTAAGGTCTCCACAGGGGATTCAGACATCCCTTCATGTTGGGAGATGAAAGACGAGCCTGTATTCAAGCCACTGCAAGGAAACCCGGCCTCCTTTCAAGTTAGGGCTTCTCGCTGTATATCCCACTTGAGGCAGCAAACTCGGGGCCCCTCCCACATACATATTGCTGAGAGAAGCCTCCCCTTGAGGTGCTTCCGGAAAGTTGGCATACCTCTTGACCCAAAGCCACGGAATCAGCTCTCATCTCGAGATGATTTGGGGTACATGGAGCATTCCTCGAGTTGCTGTGCTGAAGATGGTGTTCCTCTAGACTTGGGACAGTGTTCTCGGGGCATCTCTGGAGTTGCCTAAAGGAAGTCAAGCCACTGGTCTTGTTTAATGAGGAACGGGGGAAGGCTCTGGGGTCAACGCAGGGGAATCGGGCCTCATCTCCAGTTGATTTGGGGCACATGGAGCTGCTTTGCCTTGCAGGGGAGACCTCAGGGTCCGTCTAGAATTGTGACAGTGTTCTTGGGCACTCTCTCGAGATCCATTAAGCAAGTCGAAGCTCCTGACTTGATTGATGGGGATCACGGAATTGCTCTGTGAGCACTGCAGGGGAATCGGGCCTCATCTCACATCTAGGGGGAAGTCTCATGTTTTTTTTCGATTTGTGGCGGGGACCTGCGTTATGTTCTCGAGTTACGGTGGGGATTGCCCTTCAAAACTCGTGTTTATTCAGTGACGTCAGGACTCCTGTCTAGTAACGTGGGACACCTCATAATCTCTTCGAGGACTGGCAGGGCAGGAGGGACGCTTCTCGAGGTGAGGCAGTGCCCCCAAGGACCTTTTCCAGTAGCCACAGGGATTTTGGGATTTCTACCAATATTCACGATGAGTCAGGCTACGTTACCTTTTGAAGCAGTGAACTCCGCGTGCCTCTCGGGTGTCAACAGAATGTAAGGCATTCCGTCATAATGAGGCAGGTACCTAGGGCTTTCTCTAAGGTCTCCCCAGGGGATTCAGACATCCCTTCATGTTGGGAGATGAAAGACGAGCTGTATTCAAGCCACTTCAAGGAAACCCGGCCTCCTTTCAAGTTAGGGCTTCTCGCTGTATATCCCACTTTGGGCAGCAAACTCGGGGTCCCTACCACATACCTGTTGCTTAAAGAAGCCTCCCCTTGAGGTGCTTCTGGAAAGTTGGCATACATCTTGAGCAAAAGCAACGGAATCTGCTCTCAACTCTAGATGATTTGGGGTACACGGAGTATTCCTCGCGTTGCTCTGCTGAAGTTGATGTTCCTCTAGTCTTGGGACAGTGTTCTCGGGGCATCTCTGGAGGTGCCTGAAGGAAGTCAAGCCACTGGTCTTGTTGAATGGTTAATGGCGGATGGCTCTGGAGTCAATGCAGTGGAATCGGGCCTCACCTCGAGTTGATTTGTGGTACATGGAGCTACTTTGCGTTGCTGTGGTAACCTCAGGGTCCATCTAGACTTGTGACAGTGTTCTTGGGGACTCTCTCGAAATCCATTAAAGAATTCGAATCTCCAGACTTGTTTGATGGGGATCACGGAATTGCTCTGCATGCACTGCAGGGGAATCGAGCCTCATCTCGCATCTATGGGGAAGTCTCATGGTTTTTCTCGAGTTGCAGCGGGGATATGCGGTATGTTCTCGAGTGAGGGCGGGGATGGCCCTTCAAATCACATGTTTATTCAGTGACGTCAGGACTCCTTTCTAGTAACGTGGGACAACTCAGGAATCTCTTCGAGGCTTGGCAGGGCACAAGGGACGTTTCTCGAGGTGAGGAAGGGCTCCCAAGGACACTTTCCAGTAGCCACAGGGATTTTTGGATTCCTATCAATATTCAAGAGGAGTCAGGCATCATCACCTTTTGAAGCAGTGAACTCTGCGTGCCTCCCGAGGTGTCAACTTGATGTGAGGCATTCCGTCATAATGAGGCAGTGACCTAGGGCTATCTGTAAGGTATCCACAGGGGATTCAGACATCCCTTCATGTTGGGAGATGAAAGACGAGCCTGTATTCAAGCGACTGCAAGGAAACCCGGCCTCCTTTCAAGTTAGGGATTCTCGCTGTATATCCCACTTGAGGCAGCAAACTCGGGGTCCCTACCACATACCTATTGCTTAAAGAAGCCTCCCATTGAGGGACTTCTGGAAAGTTGGCATACGTCTTGATCCTAAGCCAGGGAATCAGCTCTCATCTCGAGACGATTTGGGGTTCATGGAGCATTCCTCGAGTTGCTGTGCTGAAGTTGGTGTTCCTCTAGGCTTGGGACAGTGTTCTCGGGGCATCTCTGGAGTTGCCTAAAGAAAGTCAAGCCACTGGTCTTGTTTAATGAGGAACGGGGGAAGGCTCTGGGGTCAATGCAGGGGAATCGGGTCTCATCTCCAGTTGATTTGTGGCACATGGAGCTGCTTTGCGTTGCAGGGGTGAACTCAGGGTCCGTCTAGACTTGTGACAGTGTTCTTGGGCACACTCTCGAGATCCATTAAGCAAGTCGAAGCTCCGGACTTGATTGATGGGGATCACGGAATTGCTCTGCCTGCACTGCAGGGGAATCGGGCCTCATCTCACATCTAGGCGGAAGTCTCATGTTTTTCTTCGATTTGTGGCGGGGACCTGAGGTATGTTCTCGAGTTACGGCGGGGATTGCCCTTCAAAACTCGTGTTTATTCAGTGACGTCAGGACTCCTGTCTAGTAACGAGGGACACCTCAGTAATCTCTTCGAGGACTGGCAGGGCACGAGGGACACTTCTCGAGGTGAGGCAGTGCACCCAAGGACTTTTTCCAGTAGCCACAGAGATTTTGGGATTTCTACCAATATTCACGATGAGTCAGGCTACGTTACCTTTTGAAGCAGTGAACTCCGCGTGCCTCTCGAGGTGTCAACGGAATGTGAGGCATTCCGTCATAATGAGGCAGGTAACTAGGGCTTTCTCTAAGGTCTCCCCAGGGGATTCAGACATCCTTTCATGTTGGGAGATGAAAGACGAGCCTGTATTCAAGCCACTGCAAGGAAACCCGGCCTCCTTTCAAGTTAGGGCTTCTCACTGTATATCCCACTTGCGGCAGGAAACTCGGGGTCCCTACCACATACCTATTGCTTAAAGAAGCCTCCCCTTGAGGTGCTTCTGGAAAGTTGGCATACGTCTTGAGCCTAAGCCAGGGAATCAGCTCTCATCTCGAGACGATTTGGGGTACATGGAGCATTCCTCGAGTTGCTGTGCTGAAGATGGTGTTCCTCTAGACTTGGGACAGTGTTCTCGGGGCATCTCTGGAGTTGCCTAAAGGAAGTCAAGCCACTGGTCTTGTTTAATGAGGAATGGGGGAAGGCTCTGGGGTCAACGCAGGGGAATCGGGCCTCATCTCCAGTTGATTTGGGGCACATGGAGCTGCTTTGCCTTGCAGGGGAGACCTCAGGGTCCGTCTAGAATTGTGACAGTGTTCTTGGGCACTCTCTCGAGATCCATTAAGCAAGTCGAAGCTCCTGACTTGATTGATGGGGATCACGGAATTGCTCTGTGAGCACTGCAGGGGAATCGGGCCTCATCTCACATCTAGGCGGAAGTCTCATGTTTTTTTTCGATTTGTGGCGGGGACCTGCGTTATGTTCTCGAGTTACGGTGGGGATTGCCCTTCAAAACTCGTGTTTATTCAGTGACGTCAGGACTCCTGTCTAGTAACGAGGGACACCTCAGTAATCTCTTCGAGGACTGGCAGGGCACGATGGACCCTTCTCGAGGTGAGGCAGTGCACCCAAGGACTTTCTCCAGTAGCCACAGAGATTTTGGGATTTCTACCAATATTAACGATGAGTCAGGCTACGTTACCTTTTGAAGCAGTGAACTCCGCGTGCCTCTCGAGGTGTCAACGGAATGTGAGGCATTCCGTCATAACGAGGCAGGTAACTAGGGCTTTCTCTAAGGTCTCCCCAGGGGATTCAGACATCCCTTCATGTTGGAGGATGAAAGACGAGCTGTATTCAACCACTTCAAGGAAACCCGGCTTCCTTTCAAGTTAGGGCTTCTCGCTGTATATCCCACTTGGGGCAGCAAACTCGGGGTCCCTACCACATAAGTTTTGCTTAAAGAAGCCTCCTCTTGACGTGCTTCTGGAAAGTTGGCATACGTCTTGACCCAAAGCCACGGAATCAGCTCTCAACTCTAGATGATTTGGGGTACTCGGAGCATTCCTCGAGTTGCTGTGCCGAAGTTGGTGTTCCTCTAGACTTGGGACAGTGTTCTCGGGGCATCTCGGGAGTTGGCTGAAGGAAGTCAAGCCACTGGTCGTGTTTAATGGGGAACAGGGGATGGCTCTGGAGTAAATTCAGGGGAATCGGGCCTCATCTTGAGTTGATTTGGGGCACATGGAGCTGCTTTGCATTGCAGGGGTGACCTCAGGGTCCGTCTAGACTTGTGACAGTGTTCTTCGGGACTGGCTCGAGATCCATTAAGCAAGTCGAAGTTCCTGACTTGTTTGATGGGGATCACGGAATTGCCCTGCATGCACTGAAGGGGAATCGGGCCTCATCTCGCATCTAGGGGGAAGTCTCATGGTTTTTCTCGAGTTGTGGCGGGGATATGCGGTATGTTCTCGAGTTAGGGCGGGGATGGCCCTTCAAATCACATGTTTATTTAGTGACGTCAGGACTCCTTTCTAGTAACGTGGGACAACTCAGGAATCTCGTCGAGGCTTGGCAGGGCACAAGGGACGTTTCTCGAGGTGAGGAAGGGCTCCGAAGGACCCTTTCCAGTAGCCACAGGGATTTTTGGATTCCTATCAATATTCAAGAGGAGTCAGGCATCGTCACCTTTGAAGCAGTGAACTCTGCGTGCCTCCCGAGGTGTCAACTTGATGTGAGGCATTCCGTCATAATGAGGCAGGGACCTAGGGCTATCTGTAAGGTCTCCGCAGGGGATTCAGACATCCCTTCATGTTGGGAGATGAAAGACGAGCCTGTATTCAAGCCACTGCAAGGAAACCCGGCCTCCTTTCAAGTTAGGGCTTCTCGCTGTATATCCCACTTGTGGCAGCAAACTCGGGGTCCCTACCACATACCTATTGCTTAAAGAAGCCTCCCCTTGAGGTGCTTCTGGAAAGTTGGCATACGTCTTGAGCCTAAGCCAGGGAATCAGCTCTCATCTCGAGACGATTTGGGGTACATGGAGCATTCCTCGAGTTGCTGTGCTGAAGATGGTGTTCCTCTAGACTTGGGACAGTGTTCTCGGGGCATCTCTGGAGTTGCCTAAAGGAAGTCAAGCCACTGGTCTTGTTTAATGAGGAACTGGGGAAGGCTCTGGGGTCAACGTAGGGGAATCGGGCCTCATCTCCAGTTGATTTGGGGCACATGGAGCTGCTTTGCGTTGCAGGGGTGACCTCAGGGTCCGTCTAGACTTGTGACAGTGTTCTTGGGCGGTCTCAAGATCCATTAAGCAAGTCGAAGCTCCTGACTTGATTGATGGGGATCACGGAATTGCTCTGCGAGCACTGCAGGGGAATCGGGCCTCATCTCACATCTAGGCGGAAGTCTCATGTTTTTTTTCGATTTGTGGCGGGGACCTGTGGTATGTTCTCGAGTTACGGCGGGGATTGCCCTTCAAAACTCGTTTTTATTCAGTGACGTCAGGACTCCTGTCTAGTAACGAGGGACACCTCAGTAATCTCTTCGAGGACTCGCAGGGCACGAGGGACCCTTCTCGAGGTGAGGCAGTGCACCCAAGGACTTTTTCCAGTAGCCACAGAGATTTTGGGATTTCTACCAATATTAACGATGAGTCAGGCTACGTTACCTTTTGAAGCAGTGAACTCCGCGTGCCTCTCGAGGTGTCAACGGAATGTGAGGCATTCCGTCATAACGAGGCAGGTACCTAGGGCTTTCTTTAAGGTCTCCCCAGGGGATTCAGACATCCCTTCATGTTGGAGGATGAAAGACGAGCTGTATTCAAGCCACTTCAAGGAAACCCGGCCTCCTTTCAAGTTAGGGCTTCTCGCTGTATATCCCACTTGGGGCAGCAAACTCGGGGTCCCTACCACATAAGTTTTGCTTAAAGAAGCCTCCTCTTGACGTGCTTCTGGAAAGTTGGCATACGTCTTGACCCAAAGCCACGGAATCAGCTCTCAACTCTAGATGATTTGGGGTACTCGGAGCATTCCTCGAGTTGCTGTGCCGAAGTTGGTGTTCCTCTAGACTTGGGACAGTGTTCTCGGGGCATCTCGGGAGTTGGCTGAAGGAAGTCAAGCCACTGGTCGTGTTTAATGGGGAACAGGGGATGGCTCTGGAGTAAATTCAGGGGAATCGGGCCTCATCTTGAGTTGATTTGGGGCACATGGAGCTGCTTTGCATTGCAGGGGTGACCTCAGGGTCCGTCTAGACTTGTGACAGTGTTCTTCGGGACTGTCTCGAGATCCCTTAAGCAAGTCGAATTTCTGACTTGTTTGATGGGGATCACGGAATTACCCTGCATGCACTGAAGGGGAATCGGGCCTCATCTCGCGTCTAGGGGGAAGTCTCATGGTTTTTCTCGAGTTGTGGCGGGGATATGCGGTATGTTCTCGAGTTAGGGCGGGGATGGCCCTTCAAATCACATGTTTATTCAGTGACGTCAGGACTCCTTTCTAGTAACCTGGGACAACTCAGGAATCTCTTCGAGGCTTGGCAGGGCACAAGGGACGTTTCTCGAGGTGGGGAAGGGCTCCCAAGGACCCTTTCCAGTAGCCACAGGGATTTGGGGATTCCTATCAATATTCAAGAGGAGTCAGGCATTGTCACCTTTTGAAGCAGTGAACTCTGCGTGCCTCTCGAGGTGTCAACGGGATGTGAGGCATTCCGTCATAATGGCCAGGGACCTAGGGCTTTCTCTAAGGTCTCCACAGGGGATTCAGACATCCCTTCATGTTGGGAGATGAAAGACGAGCCTGTATTCAAGCCACTGCAAGGAAACCCGGCCTCCTTTCAAGTTAGGGCTTCTCGCTGTATATCCCACTTGAGGCAGCAAACTCGGGGCCCCTCCCACATACATATTGCTGAGAGAAGCCTCCCCTTGAGGTGCTTCCGGAAAGTTGGTATACCACTTGACCCAAAGCCACGGAATCAGCTCTCATCTCGAGATGATTTGGGGTACACGGAGCATTCGTCAAGTTGCTGTGCTGAAGTTGGTGTTCCTCTAGACTTGGGACAGTGTTCTCGGGGCATCTCTGGAGGTGCCTGAAGGAAGTCAAGCCACTGGTCGTGTTTAATGGGGAACGGCAGATGGCTCTGGAGTCAATGCAGTGGAATCGGGCCTCACCTCGAGTTGATTTGAGGCACATGGAGCTGCTTTGCGTTGCAGGGGTGACCTCAGGGTGCGTCTAGACTTGTGACAGTGTTCTTGGGGACTGTCTCGAGATCCATTAAGCAAGTCGAAGCTCCTGACTTGTTTGATGGGGATCACGGAATTGCTCTGCATGCACTGCAGGGGAATCGGGCCTCATGTCACATCTAGGGGGAAGTCTCATGGTTTTTCTCGAGTTGCGGCGGGGATATGCGGTATGTTCTCGAGTTACGGCGGGGATGGCCTTTCAAAACACGTGTTTATTCAGTGACGTCAGGACTCCTGTCTAGTAACGAGGGACACCTCAGTAATCTCTTCGAGGACTGGCAGGGCACGAGGGACCCTTCTTGAGGTGAGGCAGTGCACCCAAGGACTTTTTCCAGTAGCCACAGAGATTTTGGGATTTCTACCAATATTCACGATGAGTCAGGCTACGTTACCTTTTGAAGCAGTGAACTCCGCGTGCCTCTCGAGGTGTCAACGGAATGTGAGGCATTCCGTCATAATGAGGCAGGTAACTAGGGCTTTCTCTAAGGTCTCCCCAGGGGATTCAGACATCCCTTCGTGTTGGGAGATGAAAGACGAGCTGTATTCAAGCCACTTCAAGGAAACCCGGCCTCCTTTCAAGTTAGGGCTTCTCGCTGTATATCCCACTTGAGGCAGCAAACTCGGGGTCCCTACCACATAAGTTTTGCTTAAAGAAGCCTCCCCTTGAGGTGCTTCTGGAAAGTTGGCATACGTCTTGATCCAAAGCCACGGAATCAGCTCTCAACTCTGGATGATTTGGGGTACTTGGAGCATTCCTCGAGTTGCTGTGCCGAAGTTGGTGTTCCTCTAGACTTGGGACAGTGTTCTCGGGGCATCTCGGAGGTTGCCTGAAGGAAGTCAAGCCACTGGTCGTGTTAAATGGGGAAAGGGGGATGGCTCTGGTGTAAACGCAGGGGAATCGGGCCTCATCTCGAGTTGATTTGGGGCACATGGAGCTGCTTTGCATTGCAGGGGTGACCTCAGGGTCCGTCTAGACTTGTGACAGTGTTCTTCGGGACTGTCTCGAGATCCCTTAAGCAAGTCGAATTTCTGACTTGTTTGATGGGGATCACGGAATTACCCTGCATGCACTGAAGGGGAATCGGGCCTCATCTCGCGTCTAGGGGGAAGTCTCATGGTTTTTCTCGAGTTGTGGCGGGGATATGCGGTATGTTCTCGAGTTAGGGCGGGGATGGCCCTTCAAATCACATGTTTTTTCAGTGACGTCAGGACTCCTTTCTAGTAACCTGGGACAACTCAGGAATCTCCTCGAGGCTTGGCAGGGCACAAGGGACGTTTCTCGAGGTGAGGAAGGGCTCCCAAGGACCCTTTCCAGTAGCCACAGGGATTTGGGGATTCCTATCAATATTCAAGAGGAGTCAGGCATTGTCACCTTTTGAAGCAGTGAACTCTGCGTGCCTCTCGAGGTGTCAACGGGATGTGAGGCATTCCGTCATAATTGCCAGGGACCTAGGGCTTTCTCTAAGGTTTCCACAGGGGATTCAGACATCCCTTCATTTTGGGAGATTAAAGACGAGCCTGTATTCAAGCCACTGCAAGGAAACCCGGCCTCCTTTCAAGTTAGGGTTTCTCGCTGTATATCCCACTTGAGGCAGCTAACTCGGGGCCCCTCCCACATACATATTGCTGAGAGAAGCCTCCCCTTGAGGTGCTTCCGGAAAGTTGGCATACCTCTTGACCCAAAGCCACGGAATCAGCTCTCATCTCGAGATGATTTGGGGTACACGGAGCATTCGTCGAGTTGCTGTGCTGAAGTTGGTGTTCCTCTAGACTTGGGACAGTGTTCTCGGGGCATCTCTGGAGGTGCCTGAAGGAAGTCAAGCCACTGGTCGTGTTTAATGGGGAACGGCGGATGGCTCTGGAGTCAATGCAGTGGAATCGGGCCTCACCTCGAGTTGATTTGTGGCACATGGAGCTGCTTTGCGTTGCAGGGGTGACCTCAGGGTGCGTCTTGACTTGTGACAGTGTTCTTGGGGACTGTCTCGAGATCCATTAAGCAAGTCGAGCTCCTGACTTGTTTGATGGGGATCACGGAATTGCTCTGCATGCACTGCAGGGGAATCGGGCCTCATGTCACATCTAGGGGGAAGTCTCATGGTTTTTCTCGAGTTGCGGCGGGGATATGCGGTATGTTCTCGAGTTACGGTGGGGATGGCCTTTCAAAACACGTGTTTATTCAGTGACGTCAGGACTCCTGTCTAGTAACGTGGGACTGCTCAGGAATCTCTTGGAAGCTTGGCAGGGCCCAAGGGACGCTTCAGGAAGTGAGGAAGGGCACCCAAGGACCCTTTCCAGTAGCCACAGGGATTTTTGGATTCCTATCAATATTCAAGAGGAGCCAGGCATGGTCACCTTTTGAAGAAGTGAACTTTGCGTGCCTCTCGAGGTGTCAACGGGATGTGAGGCATTCCGTCATAATGAGACTGGGACCTAGGGCTTTCTCTAAGGTCTCCACAGGGGATTCAGACATCCCTTCATGTTGTGAGATGAAAGACGAGCCTGTATTCAAGCCACTGCAAGGAAACCCGGCCTCCTTTCAAGTTAGGGCTTCTCGCTGTATATCCCACTTGAGGCAGCAAACTCGGGGTCCCTACCACATAAATATTGCTTAAAGAAGCCTCCCCTTGAGGGCTTCTGGAAAGTTGGCATACGTGTTGAGCCTAAGCCAGGGAATCAGCTCTCATCTCGAGACGATTTGGGGTACATGGAGCATTCCTCGAGTTGCTGTGCTGAAGTTGGTGTTCCTCTAGGCTTGGGACAGTGTTCTCGGGGCATCTCTGGAGTTGCCTAAAGGAAGTCAAGCCACTGGTCTTGTTTAATGAGGAACGGGGGAAGGCTCTGGGGTCAATGCAGGGGAATCGGGTCTCATCTCCAGTTGATTTGTGGCACATGGAGCTGCTTTGCGTTGCAGGGGTTACCTCAGGGTCCGTCTAGACTTGTGACAGTGTTCTTGGGCACTCTCTCGAGATCCATTAAGCAAGTCGAAGCTCCGGACTTGATTGATGGGGATCACGAAATTGCTCTGCGAGCACTGCAGGGGAATCGGGCCTCATCTCACATCTAGGCGGAAGTCTCATGTTTTTTTTCGATTTGTGGCGGGGACCTGCGGTATGTTCTCGAGTTACGGCGGGGATTGCCCTTCAAAACTCGTGTTTATTCAGTGACGTCAGGACTCCTGTCTAGTAACGAGGGACACCTCAGTAATCTCTTCGAGGACTGGCAGGGCACGAGGGACCCTTCTCGAGGTGAGGCAGTGCACCCAAGGACTTTTTCCAGTAGCCACAGAGATTTTGGGATTTCTACCAATATTCACGATGAGTCAGGCTACGTTACCTTTTGAAGCAGTGAACTCCGCGTGCCTCTCGGGTGTCAACAGAATGTAAGGCATTCCGTCATAATGAGGCAGGTACCTAGGGCTTTCTCTAAGGTCTCCCCAGGGGATTCAGACATCCCTTCATGTTGGGAGATGAAAGACGAGCTGTATTCAAGCCACTTCAAGGAAACCCGGCCTCCTTTCAAGTTAGGGCTTCTCGCTGTATATCCCACTTGGGGCAGCAAACTCGGGGTCCCTACCACATACCTGTTGCTTAAAGAAGCCTCCCCTTGAGGTGCTTCTGGAAAGTTGGCATACATCTTGAGCAAAAGCCACGGAATCTGCTCTCAACTCTAGATGCTTTGGGGTACACGGAGTATTCCTCGCGTTGCTGTGCTGAAGTTGATGTTCCTCTAGTCTTGGGACAGTGTTCTCGGGGCATCTCTGGAGGTGCCTGAAGGAAGTCAAGCCACTGGTCTTGTTGAATGGGGAATGGCGGATGGCTCTGGAGTCAAAGCAGTGGAATCGGGCCTCACCTCGAGTTGATTTGTGGCACATGGAGCTACTTTGTGTTGCTGTGGTAACCTCATTGTCCATCTAGACTTGTGACAGTGTTCTTGGGGACTCTCTCGAAATCCATTAAAGAATTCGAATCTCCAGACTTGTTTGATGGGGATCCCGGAATTGCTCTGCATGCACTGCAGGGGAATCGAGCCTCATCTCGCATCTATGGGGAAGTCTCATGGTTTTTCTCGAGTTGCAGCGGGGATATGCGGTATGTTCTCGAGTGAGGGCGGGGATGGCCCTTCAAATCACATGTTTATTCAGTGACGTCAGGACTCCTTTCTAGTAACGTGGGACAACTCAGGAATCTCTTCGAGGCTTGGCAGGGCACAAGGGACGTTTCTCGAGGTGAGGAAGGGCTCCCAAGGACACTTTCCAGTAGCCACAGCGATTTTTGGATTCCTATCAATATTCAAGAGGAGTCAGGCATCATCACCTTTTGAAGCAGTGAACTCTGCGTGCCTCCCGAGGTGTCAACTTGATGTGAGGCATTCCGTCATAATGAGGCAGTGACCTAGGGCTATCTGTAAGGTATCCACAGGGGATTCAGACATCCCTTCATGTTGGGAGATGAAAGACGAGCCTGTATTCAAGCGACTGCAAGGAAACCCGGCCTCCTTTCAAGTTAGGGATTCTCGCTGTATATCCCACTTGAGGCAGCAAACTCGGGGTCCCTACCACATACCTATTGCTTAAAGAAGCCTCCCATTGAGGGACTTCTGGAAAGTTGGCATACGTCTTGATCCTAAGCCAGGGAATCAGCTCTCATCTCGAGACGATTTGGGGTTCATGGAGCATTCCTCGAGTTGCTGTGCTGAAGTTGGTGTTCCTCTAGGCTTGGGACAGTGTTCTCGGGGCATCTCTGGAGTTGCCTAAAGGAAGTCAAGCCACTGGTCTTGTTTAATGAGGAACGGGGGAAGGCTCTGGGGTCAATGCAGGGGAATCGGGTCTCATCTCCAGTTGATTTGTGGCACATGGAGCTGCTTTGCGTTGCAGGGGTGAACTCAGGGTCCGTCTAGACTTGTGACAGTGTTCTTGGGCACACTCTCGAGATCCATTAAGCAAGTCGAAGCTCCGGACTTGATTGATGGGGATCACGGAATTGCTCTGCGTGCACTGCAGGGGAATCAGACCTCATCTCACATCTAGGGGGAAGTCTCATGGTTTTTTTCGATTTGAGGCGGGGACCTGCGGTATGTTCTCGAGTTACGGCGGGGATTGCCCTTCAAAACTCGTGTTTATTCAGTGACGTCAGGACTCCTGTCTAGTAACGTGGGACACCTCATAATCTCTTCGAGGACTGGCAGGGCAGGAGGGACGCTTCTCGAGGTGAGGCAGTGCCCCCAAGGACCTTTTCCAGTAGCCACAGAGATTTTGGGATTTCTACCAATATTCACGATGAGTCAGGCTACGTTACCTTTTGAAGCAGTGAACTCCGCGTGCCTCTCGGGTGTCAACAGAATGTAAGGCATTCCGTCATAATGAGGCAGGTACCTAGGGCTTTCTCTAAGGTCTCCCCAGGGGATTCAGACATCCCTTCATGTTGGGAGATGAAAGACGAGCTGTATTCAAGCCACTTCAAGGAAACCCGGCCTCCTTTCAAGTTAGGGCTTCTCGCTGTATATCCCACTTGGGGCAGCAAACTCGGGGTCCCTACCACATACCTGTTGCTTAAAGAAGCCTCCCCTTGAGGTGCTTCTGGAAAGTTGGCATACATCTTGAGCAAAAGCCACGGAATCTGCTCTCAACTCTAGATGCTTTGGGGTACACGGAGTATTCCTCGCGTTGCTGTGCTGAAGTTGATGTTCCTCTAGTCTTGGGACAGTGTTCTCGGGGCATCTCTGGAGGTGCCTGAAGGAAGTCAAGCCACTGGTCTTGTTGAATGGGGAATGGCGGATGGCTCTGGAGTCAAAGCAGTGGAATCGGGCCTCACCTCGAGTTGATTTGTGGCACATGGAGCTACTTTGTGTTGCTGTGGTAACCTCAGGGTCCATCTAGACTTGTGACAGTGTTCTTGGGGACTCTCTCGAAATCCATTAAAGAATTCGAATCTCCAGACTTGTTTGATGGGGATCCCGGAATTGCTCTGCATGCACTGCAGGGGAATCGAGCCTCATCTCGCATCTATGGGGAAGTCTCATGGTTTTTCTCGAGTTGCAGCGGGGATATGCGGTATGTTCTCGAGTGAGGGCGGGGATGGCCCTTCAAATCACATGTTTATTCAGTGACGTCAGGACTCCTTTCTAGTAACGTGGGACAACTCAGGAATCTCTTCGAGGCTTGGCAGGGCACAAGGGACGTTTCTCGAGGTGAGGAAGGGCTCCCAAGGACACTTTCCAGTAGCCACAGCGATTTTTGGATTCCTATCAATATTCAAGAGGAGTCAGGCATCATCACCTTTTGAAGCAGTGAACTCTGCGTGCCTCCCGAGGTGTCAACTTGATGTGAGGCATTCCGTCATAATGAGGCAGTGACCTAGGGCTATCTGTAAGGTCTCCACAGGGGATTCAGACATCCCTTCATGTTGGGAGATGAAAGACGAGCCTGTATTCAAGCGACTGCAAGGAAACCCGGCCTCCTTTCAAGTTAGGGATTCTCGCTGTATATCCCACTTGAGGCAGCAAACTCGGGGTCCCTACCACATACCTATTGCTTAAAGAAGCCTCCCATTGAGGGACTTCTGGAAAGTTGGCATACGTCTTGATCCTAAGCCAGGGAATCAGCTCTCATCTCGAGACGATTTGGGGTTCATGGAGCATTCCTCGAGTTGCTGTGCTGAAGTTGGTGTTCCTCTAGGCTTGGGACAGTGTTCTCGGGGCATCTCTGGAGTTGCCTAAAGGAAGTCAAGCCACTGGTCTTGTTTAATGAGGAACGGGGGAAGGCTCTGGGGTCAATGCAGGGGAATCGGGTCTCATCTCCAGTTGATTTGTGGCACATGGAGCTGCTTTGCGTTGCAGGGGTGAACTCAGGGTCCGTCTAGACTTGTGACAGTGTTCTTGGGCACACTCTCGAGATCCATTAAGCAAGTCGAAGCTCCGGACTTGATTGATGGGGATCACGGAATTGCTCTGCGTGCACTGCAGGGGAATCGGACCTCATCTCACATCTAGGGGGAAGTCTCATCGTTTTTTTCGATTTGAGGCGGGGACCTGCGGTATGTTCTCGAGTTACGGCGGGGATTGCCCTTCAAAACTCGTGTTTATTCAGTGATGTCAGGACTCCTGTCTAGTAACGTGGGACACCTCATAATCTCTTCGAGGACTGGCAGGGCACGAGGGACACTTCACGAGGTGAGGCAGTGCCCCCAAGGACCTTTTCCAGTAGCCACAGAGATTTTGGGATTTCTACCAATATTCACGATGAGTCAGGCTACGTTACCTTTTGAAGCAGTGAACTCCGCGTGCCTCTCGGGTGTCAACAGAATGTAAGGCATTCCGTCATAATGAGGCAGGTACCTAGGGCTTTCTCTAAGGTCTCCCCAGGGGATTCAGACATCCCTTCATGTTGGGAGATGAAAGACGAGCTGTATTCAAGCCACTTCAAGGAAACCCGGCCTCCTTTCAAGTTAGGGCTTCTCGCTGTATATCCCACTTGGGGCAGCAAACTCGGGGTCCCTACCACATACCTGTTGCTTAAAGAAGCCTCCCCTTGAGGTGCTTCTGGAAAGTTGGCATACATCTTGAGCAAAAGCCACGGAATCTGCTCTCAACTCTAGATGCTTTGGGGTACACGGAGTATTCCTCGCGTTGCTGTGCTGAAGTTGATGTTCCTCTAGTCTTGGGACAGTGTTCTCGGGGCATCTCTGGAGGTGCCTGAAGGAAGTCAAGCCACTGGTCTTGTTGAATGGGGAATGGCGGATGGCTCTGGAGTCAAAGCAGTGGAATCGGGCCTCACCTCGAGTTGATTTGTGGCACATGGAGCTACTTTGTGTTGCTGTGGTAACCTCAGGGTCCATCTAGACTTGTGACAGTGTTCTTGGGGACTCTCTCGAAATCCATTAAAGAATTCGAATCTCCAGACTTGTTTGATGGGGATCCCGGAATTGCTCTGCATGCACTGCAGGGGAATCGAGCCTCATCTCGCATCTATGGGGAAGTCTCATGGTTTTTCTCGAGTTGCAGCGGGGATATGCGGTATGTTCTCGAGTGAGGGCGGGGATGGCCCTTCAAATCACATGTTTATTCAGTGACGTCAGGACTCCTTTCTAGTAACGTGGGACAACTCAGGAATCTCTTCGAGGCTTGGCAGGGCACAAGGGACGTTTCTCGAGGTGAGGAAGGGCTCCCAAGGACACTTTCCAGTAGCCACAGCGATTTTTGGATTCCTATCAATATTCAAGATGAGTCAGGCATCATCACCTTTTGAAGCAGTGAACTCTGCGTGCCTCCCGAGGTGTCAACTTGATGTGAGGCATTCCGTCATAATGAGGCAGTGACCTAGGGCTATCTGTAAGGTATCCACAGGGGATTCAGACATCCCTTCATGTTGGGAGATGAAAGACGAGCCTGTATTCAAGCGACTGCAAGGAAACCCGGCCTCCTTTCAAGTTAGGGATTCTCGCTGTATATCCCACTTGAGGCAGCAAACTCGGGGTCCCTACCACATACCTATTGCTTAAAGAAGCCTCCCATTGAGGGACTTCTGGAAAGTTGGCATACGTCTTGATCCTAAGCCAGGGAATCAGCTCTCATCTCGAGACGATTTGGGGTTCATGGAGCATTCCTCGAGTTGCTGTGCTGAAGTTGGAGTTTCTCTAGGCTTGGGACAGTGTTCTCGGGGCATCTCTGGAGTTGCCTAAAGGAAGTCAAGCCACTGGTCTTGTTTAATGAGGAACGGGGGAAGGCTCTGGGGTCAATGCAGGGGAATCGGGTCTCATCTCCAGTTGATTTGTGGCACATGGAGCTGCTTTGCGTTGCAGGGGTGAACTCAGGGTCCGTCTAGACTTGTGACAGTGTTCTTGGGCACACTCTCGAGATCCATTAAGCAAGTCGAAGCTCCGGACTTGATTGATGGGGATCACGGAATTGCTCTGCGTGCACTGCAGGGGAATCGGACCTCATCTCACATCTAGGGGGAAGTCTCATCGTTTTTTTCGATTTGAGGCGGGGACCTGCGGTATGTTCTCGAGTTACGGCGGGGATTGCCCTTCAAAACTCGTGTTTATTCAGTGATGTCAGGACTCCTGTCTAGTAACGTGGGACACCTCATAATCTCTTCGAGGACTGGCAGGGCACGAGGGACACTTCACGAGGTGAGGCAGTGCCCCCAAGGACCTTTTCCAGTAGCCACAGAGATTTTGGGATTTCTACCAATATTCACGATGAGTCAGGCTACCTTACCTTTTGAAGCAGTGAACTCCGCGTGCCTCTCGGGTGTCAACAGAATGTAAGGCATTCCGTCATAATGAGGCAGGTACCTAGGGCTTTCTCTAAGGTCTCCCCAGGGGATTCAGACATCCCTTCATGTTGGGAGATGAAAGACGAGCTGTATTCAAGCCACTTCAAGGAAACCCGGCCTCCTTTCAAGTTAGGGCTTCTCGCTGTATATCCCACTTGGGGCAGCAAACTCGGGGTCCCTACCACATACCTGTTGCTTAAAGAAGCCTCCCCTTGAGGTGCTTCTGGAAAGTTGGCATACATCTTGAGCAAAAGCCACGGAATCTGCTCTCAACTCTAGATGATTTGGGGTACACGGAGAATTCCTCGCGTTGCTGTGCTGAAGTTGATGTTCCTCTAGTCTTGGGACAGTGTTCTCGGGGCATATCTGGAGGTGCCTGAAGGAAGTCAAGCCACTGGTCTTGTTGAATGGGGAATGGCGGATGGCTCTGGAGTCAAAGCAGTGGAATCGGGCCTCACCTCGAGTTGATTTGTGGCACATGGAGCTACTTTGCGTTGCTGTGGTAACCTCAGGGTCCATCTAGACTTGTGACAGTGTTCTTGGGGACTCTCTCGAAATCCATTAAAGAATTGGAATCTCCAGACTTGTTTGATGGGGATCACGGAATTGCTCTGCATGCACTGCAGGGGAATCGAGCCTCATCTCGCATCTATGGGGAAGTCTCATGGTTTTTCTCGAGTTGCAGCGGGGATATGCGGTATGTTCTCGAGTGAGGGCGGGGATGGCCCTTCAAATCACATGTTTATTCAGTGACGTCAGGACTCCTGTCTAGTAACGTGGGACAACTCAGGAATCTCTTCGAGGCTTGGCAGGGCACAAGGGACGTTTCTCGAGGTGAGGAAGGGCTCCCGAGGACACTTTCCAGTAGCCACAGGGATTTTTGGATTCCTATCAATATTCAAGAGGAGTCAGGCATCATCACCTTTTGAAGCAGTGAACTCTGCGTGCCTCCCGAGGTGTCAACTTGATGTGAGGCATTCCGTCATAATGAGGCAGTGACCTAGGGCTATCTGTAAGGTATCCACAGGGGATTCAGACATCCCTTCATGTTGGGAGATGAAAGACGAGCCTGTATTCAAGCCACTGCAAGGAAACCCGGCCTCCTTTCAAGTTAGGGCTTCTCGCTGTATATCCCACTTGTGGCAGCAAACTCGGGGTCCCTACCACATACCTATTGCTTAAAGAAGCCTCCCATTGAGGTGCTTCTGGAAAGTTGGCATACGTCTTGAGCCTAAGGCAGGGAATCAGCTCTCATCTCGAGACGATTTGGGGTACATGGAGCATTCCTCGAGTTGCTGTGCTGAAGATGGTGTTCCTCTAGACTTGGGACAGTGTTCTCGGGGCATCTCTGGAGTTGCCTAAAGGAAGTCAAGCCACTGGTCTTGTTTAATGAGGAACTGGGGAAGGCTCTGGGGTCAACGTAGGGGAATCGGGCCTCATCTCCAGTTGATTTGGGGCACATGGAGCTGCTTTGCGTTGCAGGGGTGACCTCAGGGTCCGACTAGACTTGTGACAGTGTTCTTGGGCACTCTCTCAAGATCCATTAAGCAAGTCGAAGCTCCTGACTTGATTGATGGGGATCACGGAATTGCTCTGCCTGCACTGCAGGGGAATCGGGCCTCATCTCACATCTAGGCGGAAGTCTCATGTTTTTTTTCGATTTGTGGCGGGGACCTGCGGTATGTTCTCGAGTTACGGCGGGGATTGCCCTTCAAAACTCGTTTTTATTCAGTGACGTCAGGACTCCTGTCTAGTAACGAGGGACACCTCAGTAATCTCTTCGAGGACTGGCAGGGCACGAGGGACCCTTCTCGAGGTGAGGCAGTGCACCCAAGGACTTTTTCCAGTAGCCACAGAGATTTTGGGATTTCTACCAATATTCACGATGAGTCAGGCTACGTTACCTTTTGAAGCAGTGAACTCCGCGTGCCTCTCGAGGTGTCAACGGAATGTGAGGCATTCCGTCATAATGAGGCAGGTAACTAGGGATTTCTCTAAGGTCTCCCCAGGGGATTCAGACATCCCTTCGTGTTGGGAGATGAAAGACGAGCTGTATTCAAGCCACTTCAAGGAAACCCGGCCTCCTTTCAAGTTAGGGCTTCTCGCTGTATATCCCACTTGAGGCAGCAAACTCGGGGTCCCTACCACATAAGTTTTGCTTAAAGAAGCCTCCCCTTGAGGTGCTTCTGGAAAGTTGGCATACGTCTTGATCCAAAGCCACGGAATCAGCTCTCAACTCTGGATGATTTGGGGTACTTGGAGCATTCCTCGAGTTGCTGTGCCAAAGTTGGTGTTCCTCTAGACTTGGGACAGTGTTCTCGGAGCATCTCGGAGGTTGCCTGAAGGAAGTCAAGCCACTGGTCGTGTTAAATGGGGAACGGGGGATGGCTCTTGAGTAAACGCAGGGGAATCGGGCCTCATCTCGAGTTGATTTGGGGCACATGGAGCTGCTTTGCATGGCAGGGGTGACGTCAGGGTCTGTCTAGACTTGTGACAGTGTTCTTCGGGACTGTCTCGAGATCCCTTAAGCAAGTCGAATTTCTGACTTGTTTGATGGGGATCACGGAATTACCCTGCATGCACTGAAGGGGAATCGGGCCTCATCTCGCGTCTAGGGGGAAGTCTCATGGTTTTTCTCGAGTTGTGGCGGGGATATGCGGTATGTTCTCGAGTTAGGGCCAGGATGGCCCTTCAAATCACATGTTTATTCAGTGACGTCAGGACTCCTTTCTAGTAACCTGGGACAACTCAGGAATCTCTTCGAGGCTTGGCAGGGCAAAAGGGACGTTTCTCGAGGTGAGGAAGGGCTCCCAAGGACCCTTTCCAGTAGCCACAGGGATTTGGGGATTCCTATCAATATTCAAGAGGAGTCAGGCATTGTCACCTTTTGAAGCAGTGAACTCTGCGTGCCTCTCGAGGTGTCAACGGGATGTGAGGCATTCCGTCATAATGGCCAGGGACCTAGGGCTTTCTCTAAGGTCTCCACAGGGGATTCAGACATCCCTTCATGTTGGGAGATGAAAGACGAGCCTGTATTCAAGCCACTGCAAGGAAACCCGGCCTCCTTTCAAGTTAGGGCTTCTCGCTGTATATCCCACTTGAGGCAGCAAACTCGGGGCCCCTCCCACACACATATTGCTGAGAGAAGCCTCCCCTTGAGGTGCTTCCGGAAAGTTGGCATACCTCTTGACCCAAAGCCACGGAATCAGCTCTCATCTCGAGATGATTTGGGGTACACGGAGCATTCGTCGAGTTGCTGTGCTGAAGTTGGTGTTCCTCTAGACTTGGGACAGTGTTCTCGGGGCATCTCTGGAGGAGCCTGAAGGAAGTCAAGCCACTGGTCGTGTTTACTGGGGAATGGCGGATGGCTCTGGAGTCAATGCAGGGGAATCGGGCCTCATCTGCCGTTGATTTGGGGCACATGGAACTGCTTTGCATTGCTGGGGTGACCTCAGGGTCCGTCTAGACTTGTGACAGTGTTCTTGGGCACTGTCTCGAGATCCATTAAGCATGTCGAAGCTCCTGACTTGTTTGATGGGGATCACGGAATTGCTCTGCATGCACTGCAGGGGAATCGGGCCTCATGTCACATCTAGGGGGAAGTCTCATGGTTTTTCTCGAGTTGCGGCGGGGATATGCGGTATGTTCTCGAGTTACGGCGGGGATGGCCTTTCAAAACACGTGTTTATTCAGTGACGTCAGGACTCCTGTCTAGTAACGTGGGACTGCTCAGGAATCTCTTGGAAGCTTGGCAGGCCCAAGGGACGCTTCTGGAAGTGAGGAAGGGCACCCAAGGACCCTTTCCAGTAGCCACAGGGATTTTTGGATTCCTATCAATATTCAAGAGGAGCCAGGCATCGTCACCTTTTGAAGAAGTGAACTTTGCGTGCCTCTCGAGGTGTCAACAGGATGTGAGGCATTCCGTCATAATGAGACTGGGACCTAGGGCTTTCTCTAAGGTCTCCACAGGGGATTCAGACATCCCTTCATGTTGGGAGATGCAAGACGAGCTGTATTCAAGCCACTGCAAGGAAACCCGGCCTCCTTTCAAGTTAGAGCTTCTCGCTGTATATCCCACTTGAGGCAGCAAACTCGGGGTCACTAACACATAAATATTGCTTAAAGAAGCCTCCCCTTGAGGTGCTTCTGGAAAGTTGGCATACGTGTTGAGCATAAGCCAGGGAATCAGCTCTCATCTCGAGACGATTTGGGGTACATGGAGCATTCCTCGAGTTGCTGTGCTGAAGTTGGTGTTCCTCTAGGCTTGGGACAGTGTTCTCGGGGCATCTCTGGAGTTGCCTAAAGGAAGTCAAGCCACTGGTCTTGTTTAATGAGGAACGGGGGAAGGCTCTGGTGTCAATGCAGGGGAATCGGGTCTCATCTCCAGTTGATTTGGGGCACATGGAGCTGCTTTGCGTTGCAGGGGTGACCTCAGGGTCCATCTAGACTTGTGACAGTGTTCTTGGGCACTCTCTCGAGATCCATTAAGCAAGTCGAAGCTCGGACTTGATTGATGGGGATCACGGAATTGCTCTGCGTGCACTGCAGTGGAATCGGACCTCATCTCACATCTAGGGGGAAGTCTCATGGTTTTTTTCGATTTGAGGCGGGGACCTGCGGTATGTTCTCGAGTTACGGCGGGGATTGCCCTTCAAAACTCGTGTTTATTCAGTGACGTCAGGACTCCTGTCTAGTAACGTGGGACACCTCAGTAATCTCTTCGAGGACTGGCAGGGCACGAGGGACGCTTCTCGAGGTGAGGCAGTGCCCCCAAGGACCTTTTCCAGTAGCCACAGAGATTTTGGGATTTCTACCAATATTCACGATGAGTCAGGCTACGTTACCTTTTGAAGCAGTGAACTCCGCGTGCCTCTCGGGTGTCAACAGAATGTAAGGCATTCCGTCATAATGAGGCAGGTACCTAGGGCTTTCTCTAAGGTCTCCCCAGGGGATTCAGACATCCCTTCCTGTTGGGAGATGAAAGACGAGCTGTATTCAAGCCACTTCAAGGAAACCCGGCCTCCTTTCAATTTAGGGTTTCTCGCTGTATATCCCACTTGGGGCAGCAAACTCGGGGTCCCTACCACATACTTGTTGCTTAAAGAAGCCTCCCCTTGAGGTGCTTCTGGAAAGTTGGCATACGTCTTGAACAGAAGCCACGGAATCAGCTCTCAACTCTAGATGATTTGGGGTACACGGAGAATTCCTCGCGTTGCTGTGCTGAAGTTGATGTTCCTCTAGTCTTGGGACAGTGTTCTCGGGGCATCTCTGGAGGTGCCTGAAGGAAGTCAAGCCACTGGTCTTGTTGAATGGGGAATGGCAGATGGCTCTGGAGCCAATGCAGTGGAATCGGGCCTCACCTCGAGTTGATTTGTGGCACATGGAGCTACTTTGCGTTGCTGTGGTAACCTCAGGGTCCATCTAGACTTGTGACAGTGTTCTTGGGGACTCTCTCGAAATCCATTAAAGAATTCGAATCTCCAGACTTGTTTGATGGGGATCACAGAATTGCTCTGCATGCACTGCAGGGGAATCGAGCCTCATCTCGCATCTATGGGGAAGTCTCATGGTTTTTCTCGAGTTGCAGCGGGGATATGCGGTATGTTCTCGAGTGAGGGCGGGGATGGCTCTTCAAATCACATGTTTATTCAGTGACGTCAGGACTCCTTTCTAGTAACGTGGGACAACTCAGGAATCTCTTCGAGGCTTGGCAGGGCACAAGGGACGTTTCTCGAGGTGAGGAAAGGCTCCCAAGGACACATTCCAGTAGCCACAGGGATTTTTGGATTCCTATCAATATTCAAGAGGAGTCAGGCATCATCACCTTTTGAAGCAGTGAACTCTGCGTGCCTCCCGAGGTGTCAACTTGATGTGAGGCATTCCGTCATAATGAGGCAGTGACCTAGGGCTATCTGTAAGGTCTCCAAAGGGAATTCAGACATCCCTTCATGTTGGGAGATGAAAGACGAGCCTGTATTCAAGCGACTGCAAGGAAACCCGGCCTCCTTTCAAGTTAGGGATTCTCGCTGTATATCCCACTTGAGGCAGCAAACTCGGGGTCCCTACCACATACCTATTGCTTAAAGAAGCCTCCCATTGAGGGGCTTCTGGAAAGTTGGCATACGTCTTGATCCTAAGCCAGGGAATCAGCTCTCATCTCGAGACGATTTGGGGTACATGGAGCATTCCTCGAGTTGCTGTGCTGAAGTTGGTGTTCCTCTAGACTTGGGACAGTGTTCTCGGGGCATCTCTGGAGTTGCCTGAAGGAAGTCAAGCCACTGGTCGTGTTTAATGGGGAACGGCGGATGGCTCTGGAGTCAACGCAGGGGAATCGGGCCTCATCTCGAGTTGATTTGGGGCACATGGAGCTGCTTTGTGTTGCAGGGGTGAACTCAGGGTGCGTCTAGACTTGTGACAGTGTTCTTGGGGACTGTCTCGAGATCCATTAAGGAAGTCGAAGCTCCTTACTTGTTTGATGGGAATCACGGATTTGCTCTGCGTACACTGCAGGGGAATCGGGCATCATCTCACATCTAGGGGGAAGTCTCATGGTTTTCCTCGATTTGCAGCGGGCCCTGCAGTATGTTCTCGAGTTATGGTGGGGATTGCCCTTCAAAATTCGTGTTTATTCAGTGACGTCAGGACTCCTGTCTAGTAACGAGGGACACCTCAGTAATCTCTTTGAGTACTGGCAGGGCACGAGGGACACTTCTCGAGGTGATGCAGTGCACCCAAGGACCCTTTCCAGTAGCCACAGAGATTTTGGGATTTCTACCAATATTCACGATGAGTCAGGCTACGTTACCTTTTGAAGCAGTGAACTCCGCGTGCCTCTCGATGTGTCAACGGGATGTGAGGGATTCCGTCATAATGAGGAAGGGACATAGGGCTTACTCTAAGGTCTCCACAGGGGAGTCAGACATCCCTTCCTGTTGGGAGATGCAAGACGAGCTGTATTCAAGCCACTTCAAGGAAACCCGGCCTTCTTTCAAGTTAGGGCTTCTCGCTGTATAATCCACTTGAGGCAGCAAACTCGGGGTCCCTACCACATACTTATTGCTTATAGAAGCCTCCCCTTGAGGTGCTTCTGGAAAGCTGGCATACGTCTTGAGCCTAAGCCAGGGAATCAGCTCTCATCTCGAGATGATTTGGGGTACATGGAGCATTCCTCGAGTTGCTGTGCTGAAGTTGGTGTTCCTCTAGACTTGGGACAGCGTTCTCGGGGCATCTCTGGAGGTGCCTGAAGGAAGTCAAGCCACTGGTCGTTTTGAATGGGGAACAGCGGATGGCTCTGGAGTCAATGCAGTGGAATCAGGCCTCACCTCGAGTTGATTTGTGGCACATGGAGCAACTTTGCGTTGCTGTGGTAACCTCAGGGTCCGTCTAGACTTGTGACAGTGTTCTTGGGGACTGTCCCGAGATCCATTAAGCAAGTCAAAACTTCTGACTTGTTTGATGGGGACCACGGAATTGCTCTGCATGCCTTGCAGGGGAATCGGGCCTCATCTCACATCTAGGGGGAAGTCTCATGGTTTTTCTCGAGTTGCGGCGGGGACCTGTGGTACGTTATTGAGTTACTGGGGGATGGCCCTACAAAACACGTGTTTATTCAGTGACGTAAGGACTCCTATCTAGTAACGAGGGACACCTCAGGAATCTCTTCGAGGCTTGGCAGGCCACAAGGGACACTTTTCGAGGTGAGTCAGGCCACCCAATGACCCTTTCCAGTAGCCACAGGGATTTTGGGATTCCTATCAATATTCAAGAGTAGTCAGGCATCGTCACCTTTTGAAGCAGTGAACTCTGCGTGCCTCTCGAGGTGTCAACGGGATGTGAGGCTTTCCGTCAAAATGAGGCAGGGACCCAGGGCTTTCTCTAAGGTCTCCACAGGGGATTCAGACATCCCTTCATGTTGGGAGATGAAAGATGACCCTGTATTCAAGCCACTGCAAGGAAACCCGGCCTCCTTTCAAGTTAGGGCTTCTCGCTGTATATTCCACTTGAGGCAGCAAACTCGGGGTCCCTCCCACATACATATTGCTGAGAGAAGCCTCCCCTTGAGGTGCTTCCAGAAAGTTGGCATACGTCTTGACCCAAAGCCATGGAATCAGCTCTCATCTCGAGACGATTTGGGGTACACGGAGCATTCCTCGAGTTGCTGTGCTGAAGTTGTTGTTCCTCTAGACTTGGGACAGTGTTCTCGGGGCATCTCTGGAGTTGCCTAAAGGAAGTCAAGCCACTGGTCTTTTTTAATGAGGAACGGGGGAAGGCTCTGGGGTCAAGGCATGGGAATCGGGCCTCATCTCGAGTTGATTTGGGGCACATGGAGCTGCTTTGTGTTGCAGGGGTGACCTCAGTGTCCGTCTAGACTTGTGACAGTGTTCTTGGGGACTCTCTCGAGATCCATTAAGCAAGTCGAAGCTCGTGACTTGATTGATGGGGACCACGTAATTGCTCTGCCTGCACTGCAGGGGAATCGGGCCTCATCTTACATCTAGGGGGAAGTCTCATGGTTTTTTTCGATTTGTGGCGGGGACCTGCGGTATGTTCTCGAGTTACGGCGGGGATTGCCCTTCAAAACTCTTGTTTATTCAGTGACGTCAGGACTCCTGTCTAGTAACGAGGGACACCTCAGTAATCTCTTCGAGGACTGGCAGTGCACGAGGGACGCTTCTCGAGGTGAGCAGTGCACCCAAGGGCCATTCCCAGTAGCCACAGAGATTTTGGGATTTCTACCAATATTCACCATGAGTCAGGCTACGTTACCTTTTGAAGCAGTGAACTCCGCGTGCCTCTCGAGGTGTCAACGGAATGTGAGGCATTCCGTCATAATGAGGCAGGTACCTAGGGCTTTCTCTAAGGTCTCCACAGGGGATTCAGACATCCCTTCATGTTGGGAGATGAAAGACGAGCTGTATTCAAGACACTTCAAGGAAACCCGGGCTCCTTTCAACTTAGGGCTTCTCGCTGTATATCCCACTTGGGGCAGCAAACTCGGGGTCCCTACCACATAACTTTGCTTAAAGAAGCCTCCCCTTGAGGTGCTTCTGGAAATTTGGCATACCTCTTGACCCAAAGCCACGGAATCAGCTCTCATCTCTGGATGATTTGGGGTACACGGAGCATTCCTCGAGTTACTGTGCCGAAGTTGCTGTTCCTCTAGACTTGGGACAGTGTTCTCGGGGCATCTCGGGAGTTGCCTGAAGGAAGTCAAGCAACTGGTCGTGTTTAATGGGGAACGGGGGATGGCTCTGGAGTCAACGCAGGGGAATCGGGCCTCATCTCGAGTTGATTTGGGGCACATGGAGCTGCTTTGCATTGCAGGGGTGACCTCAGGGTCCGTCTAGACTTGTGACAGTGTTCTTGGGGACTGTCTCGAAATCCATTAAGGAATTCGAATCTCCTGACTTGTTTGATGGTGATTACGGAATTGCTCTGCCTGCACTACAGGGAAATCGGGCCTCATCTCGCATCTAGAAGGAAGTCTCATGGTTTTTCTCGAGTTGCGGCGGGGATGGCCTTTCAAAACACAGGTTTATTCAGTGACGTCAGGACTCCTGTCTAGTAACGTGGGACAACTCAGGAATCTCTTCGAGGCTTGGCAGGGCACAAGGGACGCTTCTCGAGGTGAGGAAGTGCTCCCAAGGACCCTTTCCAGTAGGCACAGGGATTTTTGGATTCCTATCAATATTCAAGAGGAGTCAGGCATCGTCACCTTTTGAAGCAGTGAACTCTGCGTGCCTCTCGAGGTGTCAACGGGATGTGACGGTTTCCCTCAAAATGAGGCAGGGACCTAGGGCTTTCTCTAAGGTCTCCACAGGGGATTCATACATAACTTCATGTTGGGAGATGAAAGATGAGACTGTATTCAAACCACTGCAAGGAAACCCGGCCTCCTTTAAAGTTAGGGCTTCTCGCTGTATATTCCACTTGAGGCAGCAAACTCGGGGTCCCTCCCACATACATATTGCTGAGAGAAGCCTCCCCTTGAGGTGCTTCCGGAAAGTTAGCATACGCCTTGACCCAAAGCCATGGAATCAGCTCTCATCTCGGGACGATTTGGGGTACACAGAGCATTCCTCGAATTGCTGTGCTAAAGTTGGTATTCTTCTAGACTTGGGACAGTGTTCTCGGGGCATCTCTGGAGTTGCCTAAAGGAAGTCAAGCCACTGGTCTTTTTAATGAGGAACGGGGGAAGGCTCTGGGGTCAACGCAGGGGAATCGGGCCTCATCTCCAGTTGATTTGGGGCACATGGAGCTGCTTTGCGTTGCAGGGGTGACCTCAGGGTAAGTCTACACTTGTGACAGTGTCTTGGGGACTGTCTCGAGATCCATTAAGCAAGTCGAAGCTCCTGAATTGATTGATGGGGATCACGGAATTGCTCTGCGTGTACTGCAGGGGAATCGGGCCTCATCTCACATCTAGGGGGAAGTCTCATGTTTTTTTTCGATTTGCGGCGGGGACCTGCGGTATGTTCTCGAGTTATGGCGGGGATTGCCCTTCAAAACTCGTGTTTACTCAGTGACGTCAGGACTCCTGTCTAGTAACGAGGGACACCTCAGTAATCTCTTCGAGGACTGGCAGGGCATGAGGGACGCTTCTCGAGGTGAGCAGTGCACCCAAGGGCCTTTCCCAGTAGCCACAGAGATTTTGGGATTTCTACCAATATTCACCATGAGTCAGGCTACGTTACCTTTTGAAGCAGTGAACTCCACGTGCCTCTCGAGGTGTCAACGGGATGTGAGGCATTCCATCATAATGAGGCAGGGACCTAGGGCTTACTCTAAGGACTCCACAGGGGATTCAGACATCCCTTCATGTTGGGAGATGCAATACGAGCTGTATTCAAGCCACTGCAAGGAAACCCGGCCTCCATTCATGTTACGGCTTCTCGCTGTATATCCCACTTGGGGCAGCAAACTCGGGGTCCCTCCCACATACCTATTGCTGAGAGAAGCCTCCTCCTGAGGTGCTTCTGGAAAGTTGGCATACGTCTTGAGCCTAAGCCAGGGAATCAGCTCTGAACTCGAGACGATTTGGGGTGCATGTTGCATTCTTCGAGTTGCTGTGCTGAAGTTGGTGTTCCTCTAGACTTGGGACAGTGTTCTCGGGGCATCTCGGGAGTTGCCTGAAGGAAGTCAAGCCACTGGTCGTTTTTTATGGGGAACGGGGGATGGCTCTGGAGTCAACGCAAGGGAATCGGGCCTCATCTCGAGTTGATTTGGGGCACATGGAGCTGCTTTGCATTTCAGGGGTGACCTCAGTGTCCGTCTAGACTTGTGACAGTGTTCTTGGGGACTGTCTCGAAATCCATTAAGGAATTCGAATCTCCTGACTTGTTTGATGGTGATCACGGAATTGCTCTGCCTGCACTACAGGGGAATCGGGCCTCATCTCGCATCTAGGGGGAAGTCTCATGGTTTTTCTCGAGTTGCGGCGGGGATATGCGGTATGTTCTCGAGTTACGGCGGGGATGGCCTTTCAAAACACATGTTTATTCAGTGATGTCAGGACTCCTGTCTAGTAACGTGGGACACCTCAGGAATCTCTTTGAGGGTTTGCAGGGCACAAGGGACTCTTCTCGAAGTGAGGAAGTGCACCAAAGGACCTTTTCCAGTAGCCACAGGGATTTTGGGATTCCTATCAATATTCTAGAGGAGTCAGGCATCGTCACCTTTGGAAGCAGGGAACTCTGCGTGCCTCTCGAGGTGTCAACTTGATGTGAGGCATTCCGTCATAATGAGGCAGGGACCTAGGGCTTTCTCTAAGTTCTCCACAGGGGATTCAGACATACCTTCATGTTGGGAGATGAAAGACGAGCCTTATTCAAGCCACTGCAAGGAAACCCGGCCTCCTTTCAAGTTAGGGCTTCTCGCTGTATATCCCATTTTAGGCAGCAAACTCGGGGTCCCTACCACATACCTATTGCTTAAAGAAGCCTCCCCTTGAGGTGCTTCTGGAAAGTTGGCATACGTCTTGAGCTCAAGCCAGGGAATCAGCTCTCATCTCGAGACCATTTGGGGTACATGGAGCATTCTTGGAGATGCTGTGCTGAAGTTGGTGTTCCTCTAGACTTGGGACAGTGTTCTCGGGGCATCTCTGGAGTTGCCTGAAGGAAGTCAAGCCACTGGTCGTGTTTAATGGGGAACCGCGGATGGCTCCGGAGTCAACGCAGGGGAATCGGGCCTCATCTCGAGTTGATTTGGGGCACATGGAGCTGCTTTGCATTGCAGGGGTGACCTCAGGGTCCGTCTAGACTTGTGACAGTGTTCTTGGGGACTGTCTCGAGATCCATTAAGCAAGTCGAAGCTTCTCACTTGTTGGATGGGGATCACGGAATTGCTCTGCATGCCCTGCAGGGGAATCGGGCCTCATCTCGCATCTAGAGGGAAGTCTCATGGTTTTACTCGAGTTGCGGTGGGGACCTGTGGTACATTATCGAGTTACGGGGGGATGGCCCTTCAAAACACGTGTTTATTCAGTGACGTCAGGACTCCTATCTAGTAACGAGGGACACCTCAGTAATCTCATAAGGCTTGGCAGGCCACAAGGGACACTTTTCGAGGTGAGTCAGGCCACCCAAGAACCCTTTCCAGTAGCCACAGTGTTTTTGGGGATTCCTATCAATATTCAAGAGGAGTCAGACATCGTCACCTTTTGAAGCAGTGAACTCCGCGTGCCTCTCGAGGTGTCAACGGGATGTGAGGCTTTCTGTCAAAATGAGGCAGGGACCTAGGGCTTTCTCTGAGGACTCCTCAGGGGATTCAGACATCCCTTCATGTTGTGAGATGATAGACGAGCCTGTATTCAAGCCACTGCAAGGAAACACGGCCTCATTTCAAGTTAGGGCTTCTCGCTGTATATGCCACTTGAGGCAGCAAACTCGGGGTCCCTCCCACATACATATTGCTGAGAGAAGCATCCCCTTGAGGTGCTTCTGGAAAGTTGGCATACGTCTTGAGCCTAACCCAGGGAATCAGCTCTCATCTCGAGACGATTTGGGGTACACGAGGCATTCTTCGAGTTTCTGTGCTGAAGTTGGTGTTCCTCTAGACTTGGGACAGTGTTCTCGGGGCATGTCTGGAGGTGCCTGAAGGAAGTCAAGCCACTGGTCATGTTTAATGGGGAACGGGGAATAGCTCTGGAGTCAACGCAGGGGAATTGGGCCTCATCTCGAGTTGATTTGTGGCACATGGAGCTGCTTTGCGTTGTTGGGGTGACCTCAGGGTCCGTCTAGACTTGTGACAGTGTTCTTCGGGACTCTGTTGAGATCCATTAAGCAAGTTGAATCTCATGACTTGTTTGATGGGGATCACGGAATTGCTCTGCATGCACTGCAGGAGAATCGGACTCCACTCGCATCTAGGGGGAAGTCTCATGGTTTTTCTCGAGTTGCGGCTGGGAACTGGGGTATGTTCACGAGTTACGGTGGGGATGGCCCTTCAAACACGAGTTTATTCAGTGACGTCAGGACTCCTGTCTAGTAAGGAGGGACACGTAAGGGATCTCTTCGAGGCTTGGCAGGCCACAAGGGACGCTTCTCGCGGAAAGGCAGGGCACCCAAGGACCCTTTCAAGTAGCCACAGGGATTTTGGGATTCCTATCAATGTTCAAGAATAGTCAGCCTTCGTCACCTTTTGAAGCAGTGAACTCCGCGTGCCTCTCGAGGTGTCCTCGGGATGTGAGGCATTCCGTCAAAATGAGGCAGGGACCTAGGGCTTTCTCTAAGGACTCCACAGGGGATTCAGACATCCCTTCATGTTTTGATATGAAAGACGAGCCTGTATTCAACCCATTGCAAGGAAACCCAGCCTCATTTCAAGTTAGGGCTTCTCGCTGTATATTCCACTTGAGGCAGCAAACTCGGGGTCGTCCCTCCCACATACCTATTGCTGAGAGAAGCCTCCACTTGAGGTGCTTCTCGAAAGTTGGCATACATCTTGAGCCTAATCCAGGAAATCAGCTCTCATCTCGAGAAAATTTGGGGTACACGGAGCATTCCTCGAGTTGCTTTGATGAAGTTAGTGTTCCTCTAGACTTGGGAAAGTGTTCTCAGGGCATCTCTGGAGTTTCCTGAAGGAAGTCAAGCCACTGGACGTGTTTAATGGGGAACGGGGGATGGCTCTGGAGTCCATGCAGGGGAATCGGGCTTCATCTCGAGTTGACTTGAGGCACATGGGGCTGCTTTGCGATGCTGGGTTGACCTCAGGGTTCGTCTAGACTTGTGACAGTGTTCTTCGGGACTGTGTCGAGATCCATTAAGCTAGTCGAAGCTTCTGACTTGTTTGATGGGGATCGCGGATTTCTCTGCATGCACTGCAGGGGAATCGGGCCTCATCTCGCATCTAGGAGGAAGTCTCATGGTTTTTCTCGAGTTGCGGAGGGGACCTGGGGTATGTTCTCGAGTTACGGCGGTGATGGCCCTTCAAAACACGTGTTTATTCAGTGACGTCAGGACTCCTGTCTAGTAAAGAGGGACACCTCAGGAATCTCTTCGAGGTTTGGAACAGCACAAGAGACGCTTCTCGGGGAGAGGCAGGGCACCCAAGGACCCCTTCAAGTAGCCACAGTTATTTTGGGATTAATATCAATATTCAAGAGGAGTCAGGCATCGTCACCTTTTGAAGCAGTGAACTCCGCATGCCTGTGGAAGTGTCAACGGGATGTGAGGCATTCCATCAAAATGAGGCAGGGACCTAGGGCTTTCTCTAAGGACTCCACAGGGGATTCAGACATCCCTTCATGTTGGGAGATGAAAGACGAGCCTCTATTCAAGCCACTGCAAGGAAACCCGGCGTCCTTTCATGTTAGGGCTTCTCGCTGTATATTCCACTTCAGGCAGCAAACTCGGGGTCCCTCCCACATACCTATTGCTGAGAGAAGCCTCCCCTTGTGGTGCTTCTGGAAAGTTGGAATACGTCTTGAGCCTGCTCCAGGGAATCAGCTCTCATCTAGAGATGATTTGGGGTGCATGGAGCATTCCTCGAGTTGCTCTGCTAAAGTTGGTGTTCCTCTAGACTTGGGACCGTGTTCCTTTGGCATATCTGGAGATTCCTGAAGGAAGTAAAGCCACTGGTCATGTTTAATGGGGAACAGCGTATGGCTCTGGAGTCAATTCAGGGGAATCGGGCCTCATCTCGAGTTGATTTGGGGCACATGGAACTGCTTTGCATTGCTGGGGTGACCTCAGGGTCCGTCTAGACTTGTGACAGTGTTCTTGGGACTGTCTCGAGATCCACTAACTATTTCGAAGCTCCTGACTTGTTTGATGGGGATCACAGAATTGTTCTACATGCTCTCCAGAGGAATCGGGCCACATCTCTCATCTAGGGGGAAGTCTCATGGTTTTTCTCGAGTTGCGGCTGGGACCTGTGGTACGTTATCGAGTTACTTCGGGGATGGCTCTTCAAAACACTTGTTTATTCAGTGACGTCAGTACTCCTGTCTAGTAACGAGGGACACTTCAGGGATCTCTTCGAGCCTTGGCAAGGCACAAGGGATGCTTCTTGAGGTGAGTCAGGGCACCCAAGGACCCTTTCCAGTAGCCACAGCGATTTTGGGATTCCTATTAATATTCAAGAGGAGTCAGGCATCGTCACCTTTTGA